TTTATTATATATATATATATATATATATATATATATATATATTCTATATTTAATAACTATTCTATTTTCATTAGTACTTCAATCATACTAATAATCTTTTTTGATCTTTTCTTAAATGATGGTTGGTCTGAGTAAGTATCTGTTTTCCTTTACTCAAAATATTACGCTTCCTGAATTGAAGGGAGAAAATTTCTTAATCTCTTGATATATAAATTTCTGGAACGATTTAAGTTTCAAATGCTTAAGTTTATCTTGTATTTTTCATTATTGATATGAGTTTGGAAATGCTCTTTTAAACTGGTTTCAGGACGGGCGCTGATCTTTCTTGCGTTTTGTTTCTTGATTTTTATTTTAAGAAAATTATGGAACATAAGTATTATATCTATATCTATACGGATATAGATATAAGTATAGATATGCATTTATCTCTTGCAGCGAACTCTGGATAGATGTTGTTGTTCTGAATATTAAATTGAACTATTCATTTCAGATTTTCCTCACTCTGCTTTTGTACTTCTAATCAGGTTTAGTATTGATGCCTAGGTACTTGTTTTTTCCCTAAATGAGGAGGTTTCTTTTAGCAAAATGTGCCTCCACATCTTCACGTTTCCTTATCCTGCGTCCTGAAGCTACAATTGATCCTGAACGCTATCCACTTGGCTACGTTCCATTAGATGATACTGAACCCATTGATGCGGTGTATTCTCTAATCAAGGCAGGCCACTTTGTGGCTCCCCTAAACACTATCGAAACCATTCATAAAGTCTATATTGGTGTTCGAAGTTTGTGTCAATCTGAATATCCTTTGGTGGCTCCTCAAGATGTTGTTAGTTCTCAAGCGAGAGAAAGGGAAATGATGAGTCGTATTTTAATACGGCGTGATTTCTGGACGTTGGAAGACTTCAACGATGCGGAACTGAATCAAAGTTTTGGGGTTCAAAATTATTATTTTGATAACTACAAATGGTCACAGTTTCTTTGGAGACGATTCCAGCTTTTTGTTGAAGAATACTACCCTATCTCCGAGCATTCTCATTTGAAATATGTGGAGTATGTTGAGTTGATCAAAAGCTTTTTTGCGTTTGAGGAGGGTGCGTCCGTCGCTCCATTGCTTCCTAAAGCCGTTAAACTTCACCCGCCATATGGAATCATGTTGCCTTCCCGTCCTTCGCTCGAACCAATTATATTACTCAAGCGCTGGTTAACAAATTTTAGGTCTACCTTAGGACTTAACCGAGCTTTAGTTGTGCACTGTGGTGCAGGGGTGGTGCCTTTTGCGGTTAAATTTTGTAATGTGCCGATCGTTCGTGGTGTAGATCCACATCCTCGAGCAATATCCAGTTGCAGAAAGGATGCTACGACACACCACAAGCTAGCGGGTATGAGTTTTCAGACTGCCGAGCTGTTTCCTCAAGAGGATCGAAACCCAAGAAAATACGACATGATTGTATTCTATCCCGATGAAGAAATTGTGTCCTCATTTACTGACTATACTAGTATATTTGCTCCTGGTATGCAGGGGGTTGCTGGAAAATTAGAGGAATTTTTTGAAAAGGCTTCAGACTTTCTAACGGACACGGGGGTAATCGTCATTTGCTGCACCAACCTGCGTTCGATTTTAAATTCGTCGGAGCCGCATCCTATTGAGTATGAAATCAAACAAAATCGTCGGTTTGTACTATTAGATTACTATGATGCCCCAATACGCTATGGTGGCTTTCTTCGCCATCAGTTTTTGGGTCCCAAGGTTTCAATGATATCGGATTTGAAAAGAAAAATGCGTTCCGAGTTGTGGATATTACATAAACTTACCTCAATACACAACTTTGGGTTCTTCCATCAAATTCCTGGCGCGAAACCACCACCACACAGTCATGATTGGGGTAGGAAGAAAGCAAGTTTCAAGCGTCAAAAACACCTGAAGAATTACGTTGAGATGCTTGGCGGGGATTGGGATGACTATAAAAAACGCTTAATGCACATGCTACAGGAGGCAACGGATGAACCAGAGGATGATATTGCTGAGGCGGTTCGCATGGCATTGGATCCGACCTATCCTCTCGAGCTTTCTCAGCGTGCCAAGGCTACGATTGAACAAAACTTGAAGGAAAAGGAGCGTTTCGACCTCCAAGTGTTTGAGGATTATATTGACAAGTCACCAAGAGAATCATTCGATTCCAAAGTCTTGTAGTTGACATTGCATTGAGCTTCTTTCCTATATAATATCGTAATAATAGTAAAGCAAATCAATTGAAAAATTTTATTTTGCTTAGTAAATCTTTCTTTCATTAACTTAATTAATGCAGCTTACTCCTTTCCGAGTTTTTCTTGCTTTTCCTGTTTTTTCGCCTTTTCACTGCTGATTGTGTAGCCGTAGGTTTTAGAGTTTGAATGCAAATCGTCGAAGAATTCTTACGTCTTCGAAGTGAAGGAAAGGGTGAGGAGGCGTACCAGCTTTTGGCCCCTGGTGCCTCTTTTGGCTGTCCTTGGGGAGGGATGCATCATGGAAAGCGTGTTCGTGAACTTTTAGCCGATGAAAAGAATTTTGTGAAGAAGGGTTACCTTGATGTTGTGCCGATTGAGGAAATTGCGGAAGGAACATTTCAACGGAAATTTAAGTGGGACCGAGGTATGGAGGAAAGTGGTAATCTTGGTCGATGGTATTTTCGCCTTTTACCGAACTGGAGGGAGATCTATTTTGTTGAAGACGGAAAAATTAAACTAGTAACCGCCGACAAGCTCTTAAGACGTCGTTCAATTTTTTATCTACTAGGACTCACTTAATTCAGCCTTCCTTTGATTATTTTTTCCAAATAGCGAAATATTTTTGTGTTTGCGTTACTTTTTATCATTGAATGAGGCGTTATTATTCTAGCAATGCATTTTTGTTATTGCTTGGTGATACGCGGGAATTACGATGAGTTTTTTAAATTTAGCCATCTGTAGGATATTATTAGGTATAGTAGAGGGAATAATACAACTACTACGCCAGTGGTAATATTTTCCAAATTGTGCCGTATGTGAATCTGATAATAAACTATTAAGGAAACCCTAAAGCTTTTTTTCCGTTTTCACTTTTTTGGGGGGCTTACTTCGTAGAGGACATGAATAAGGGGAAAAAAAATCATACACGTGACACTTTGTTGCGAGCACTAAAGGACGGCATTCAAGCCCTTGGTGTGTCCAATTTAACTTTTTCGCGACACATAGTTTGCCGTGATGAGCATTGCAAAGCAATCGTTGATTTTCTTAACGAGCCCGTGCACCATACAATGCAACTATTTGGCATGCCTGGGACCGGCAAAACTGCGACCATTCACTACGCTCTTGCGCAGTTAGCCACTCAAGGGTTTGGAAAGCCGACGGCAGTTTTCCTTAACGGGTACGTTATACAAAAAAGCACCGATATTTACTGGACTTTATTTTGTCACCTCATGCAAACGCGTCTTGGTTACATTGAAAAGTGCCCGGTTGATCAGTGTTCTTCCCTTGTTGAAAAGCGATTTCGAGTTGGTTGGGGTTCCCCCCCTTCTATGTGTGTCATTGTGATTGATGAAGTCGACAAGGTACTTGAAAAGCATGCAAAGGCTCTTTTTAAGGTCATCGACTGGCTCAGTTTACCTTTTGCGTGTTGTAAACTTATCACCATATCCAATTCAATGGATTTAGCAGTGGATGCAAAGACGAAAAGTCGATTAGATATCACTAAGCAACTTGTCTTTCTTCCATATGGCATTCACGAACTCAAGGAGATATTAGTGTCGCGCTTGAGTGGTATCGAACCGAAACTTTTTTCAGATCAAGCCATAAACTTGCTATGTCATCAAACCGCATCTCATTATGGCGATGGTAGAAGATTGCTTCAGTCCGCCTCAGCAGCAGTGTGTCGTGTGGTTATGAAGATTGAGGAAAATAATTTTTCATACGTTCCTGCAGAGGCAGTTATCACTGTAAAGGAGGTTTACGGTGTAGTGCGCCAAGTTTTTCAAGACCGATTTGTCGAATTTATCAAGACTATCCGAACGCCTATTCTTTTTATAGTTGTATGTGTGTTGGCTAAAGAAACCGAACGGACACATGGCCACTTTAGTCAGGATAACGGCCGCCTCCTCCTCGAACGCTTGTTTGTTGTGATTCGTCAGCTACATACGACATATGGAGGATCACATGTCAGCTTAAACCGTGCATCATTTTTGGAATTAATAGTGCTGCTCCAACAGGTTTCCTTGATAGACCTATCATCTGGGGATGATCAGATCCCTATATATGCTTTAGACACTCTTCTAGATAGCTCTAATGATGACGTCTTTGTTTCTTTGTTACAGCCTTTTCAAGCGGTCATTGATGCTTGTCGTCTGCACGATCATTTTGGAGCCCCAATTGCTTCCTACATTTTGTAGGTAACCACACTGTGGTCAAAGTCGTTTTGATAAGAAACGGGGAAATTGCACCTACTGGAATATTGTCCCTCAACTCAAAAAAAAATTTCATCGTCTTTATTGTATTTCTAAACAGTTTGGAGTTAGTTTGCTTTTCTTTGTTTGTTTCCCTCTGGCTTCTTTATGTGTGCCTCTTATTTCCTTTTTCCCGCTTATTTGTGAACCCAAGTTATCTACATGCGATGAGAGGACCTCGTAAAGGTTATACATCGTCATTTGCAGCAGCTGCCAAGGTTATTTTTGACTCGGCGCGGAAGACAGGTGTAGTCAACAAACTCGAGAGGAGTGATAAACCGATAATACATTATCGTAAAGGGATTCATGGTCAGAACAAAGCACATGGTAGTTCTCTTGGGGGTGTGTCTTATAAAGTGGTAGAGTTTCTCGCTACACAAAGGCCATCATTACCTTTGAAGCAGCAACCATCAGTGAAAAGCTTTTCGAAAAAAGTGCCGCATCTCGACATTCCATCTATTGCTTCACCGGTAAAAATTGACAGCTCTTTATCGACGTATGCGATAACGGCAACATCCGCAGCGGATAAGAAAAAAGATTCCTCTGAAAAAACAGGTATCTCAAAAACTGTTGTTTCTTCGGTGGAACAAAACGCTAGTCGTAAAGACGAGACACAAACTCAGACGTTCCGAGAAGAAGATGAATTCTCGAACATTTTTGAAGAGATACCTATTGCAGAGGACAAACCATTGTTTGAGACGCGTTCCACGCTTTTCACACCTCAGACAAATGTTGCTACTGTAAAAACAATTGACGAGTTTGTCCCAAACCGTCTTTCCGAGAAAGCGAGTAGTTCCCCCCCTATAAATGCGCCCGTATTTGATAGCATTTCAGCCAATGAACAGACGTTTTTCAAGGCTCCATTGCCTAATATCGAGGTTGAAACAGTTTCTGTCGACTCCTGGGAGAAACAACGGGAGGCAGAGCTAGCCGAATTACAACGGAAAAGGAAAGAAGAGGCGGATCTTCTTGCTGCTGCCCAACTGGAGAGAGACCATCAGACTCTAGGAAATTGCTGGGTTGCGGAGAGAACGGAGGTTGTGACTGAAGCACAGTACCTTCCGGGGCAGATGAGCATACTACGTGACATTTACTTTTCTACATCGATCGAGGAGTCCCTAAGGCTTTTTAAAACTATTATTGATCTCGGCAGCCAGGCTGCTTTGGTCATCCCTGCTGCAAGCCTTCAGCTACTCTCCAAGTTGCGTCGTCTTGACTGTTTCGAGCGATATGAGTTTACTGACCAGTTTGTGAAGCTTCTTGAATCCTCAAAGGTAAGCGAGGACGTAAAGAATAAATTGAAACTTGTAGTGTATGGTGGTCAAAATTTCATAACTATCTTTAATGCCTTGAGCGAAGATTCGAAAAAAACTTTAGATAAAACGCTTGTTAAGAAGGCCGTCATCACCCTTCTACGTCATAAAAGTTGGGAAGAGGCTATTCGTCTTGTTGAAACTTCCAAGACCCTTGCCGCGGACCCCACGAATCAGCTCGACATCATTTTAGTTAAGCACTCATACTACCTGGATGATCAAGCAAGGGCAGAGGTTGTTGCGTTCGCTACTAAAAACATAACCGCAACAGGGCGTATGGGCAAGGATGCAAAGCTTGCGCTTGCGTCTGCTGAGAAAGGCTTCCAGCGTAAGCATCTCTTGCAACAACTTGCCTCGTCCACATCCGCAGATGAAAACGAGTACGCAGAGCTCATTCGTCGAACAAGCCGTGAAAATATTCAAGAGTTGCTTTCTGAGATGGTAAAACGCGGACTTAACAAAAATGATCCAAAGATTCTTGAAGCAGTTGCCTTCAGAACTATCAACACCGAGGCTCCAATGCTTGTTTTTAAAGAAATCGATGAGCAAATTCGATGCAACGGAATACGGCCAATGCATGTTCTCGTTGCTATTAAGGCCGCAAGAGTATCACCGAGGGAAGATGTTTTGCGTGCTGCCTTAAAGATTGTCAAGCTCATCCCGGGCTTCAGACCGGCTAACACCCTTCGAAGCCTTACGCCTCTTCTTTTCACGCACAAGATGTACTCAGAAATAGCAGAACTCGCCGACACTTTTGGGAAATATGTACCAATTCTAAAAGCTTTGCCCAATGTTGTTGCTCTGATAAATGATGCCCTACGAGATTTGGGTCGGGAGCCTCTTTCCGAGTTGTCTTCCAAGGACATCAATTTTTCGCCTCGAGCCCTCAACATAGCTGTGGACTCTGATTATAGTTCCTCTTCCAATGCAAATCCTGGCGTAGATGTGTCCGCTATTGCAGAGACGATGTTTATTTACGCTAGGGATAAGCAGTGGGAGAAGGCACTCGAGACACTCGCTCAAGTTAAGGGAATAAAGGCTAGCAACGTCGAGGCGTTGACATTGATTTACAATTGTGCCCTGGGCGCGGCTGTTGACAAACCGGATGTGTCACTTTCCGTGTATGAAATTATGAGGGAAAGGGAAGTCCCGATAAATGTGACCACTGTGAACACTCTTCTTACCACTCTTGGGAAGTCTCCGCAATGGGAAAGGGCAATCGAGATTTTCAACGAGCTTGACGTGGCGTATAGAGACGTCAACACATACCTAATCATTTTATCGGTATTAGGTAGACACAATCGATGGGAGGATGCAATTTCAGTTTTCAATCAGGCGAAGAAAGCATTTAATAAGCCTCCTTTGTCAGTTTTTACCTTGGCTATTGGGGCTGTTTCAAACCACAGCTGGTCTGAAACGCTGCGAATCTTTCAAGAGCTGATGCGACATCATAGCTCCAGTGTTAAAGATAATGTCGTTTATCAAGTTATTCGTTGCCTTGAGCAAAATGGCCGTGCCGCGGAAATTGTTGTGCTCCAGAAACTACTCGAAAAGAAAAGGAAAAAGAAAACGTAGAAGTGGATTTGAAATGTCCTATTTGCTTGCTTGATATTATAGCCTACTTTCATTAACTTTACGCAGTCTCTGTCTTTACTTTTTTTCTGGTGCATGCATATCTTCTGACGTGAACCGTTTCATTTCTCTGTCTTGCTTTCCATCACTTCTTTTTTTCTGTTAATCATTCATACGGGACGTTTTGTTTCCCTAACAGCGTAGTTTGCCCTTAGTTTTTTTTGCATCCCAAATCATGTTATCATCATCTAAAGCATCCAAAGATGAGCCGAAGAGGCGACGTAAAAAGAACAATTTAGACCCCATTGCTCTTGAGCGCGCGCGAGTTGAAGAATGTGAAAAGCATCGCGTTGAGCAACTTATCCGAAGGGAAGCACTAAAACAAATCATAGATCTTGAGAAGAACATGACCGAGGTTTCGTTGAAACTGATTGAGGCACGATGGATTTCTTTTTTACGAGAGTGCAAGCAGGAGGAACTCATTGCAAATGCGAATGCCATAAGGCGTACCTTTGAGCAGGCACTTGTCCAGAAGAATTTGGCAGTTTCATTTCTTTCTTCAAATTTGGAGGAAATTGAGGAGCAACACAAACTTGCTCTTCGCTCGCATATGGAGGTAGTAGACTCACTCCGCTTATTGCAAGCCCATCACACTTCGCATCTTGAGCAGGAGTTTCTATCCGATTTGCTTAGTACCAAAAAAGATTTCGATATCGAATTGTCTGAGTTGGAGCGCAATCATCAAAATGAATTAAACGATTTGCAGCTGATTTTAAAAAATATTGCAGCCGAAGCTGAGCTCCTTGAAAAGCAGCAGCAAGAGGAAATGTCTGAATCGCATGAGACAGCCGTAGAGAAAATGGAAGAGTTCAAGAAGAAAGTTCAAGACAAAATGCTTTGTGCAACTGAAGAGATACGCAAAGAATTGGACCAGCGTTACAAAGATTTCATGTCAGCATCCCAGGTAAGTATGAAGGAGTACGCGGACAAGTCAAAGGAGGATCAAGAGATTACAGAGCATATCGCATTGCAGCTGAAGAAGATTGATAAGCTTCAGCAAGAAGTTTCGTCATGGAGGCTGAATATTGCACGAAACGCCAGTGAGTGGGAGCAGCGCAATCGAGCTATGAAAAAGGAGCGTGACGCTACGCTAGCGCATCTAAAATATCTAAAGGGTAAAATGCAGAATTGGAGGCGTACCCAAGCACGACTTCTAACAGAACTCATCAAGAATGCAACAACGAGTGAAAAGTCTTTGGGAGCTCTTGAAAAGCGAGCCGATGGTTTACTGCGTCTTGTTCAGCTTTGCAAACCTTTAGAAACTGAAAGGGAGCAAGTATTGTGTTTGGACGCCAATCAAACCCCGGCAGAAATTGAACAAGACATTAGACAGCGGTTTGCATTAATAGACTCGAAGGGAAACGACGAGCCTATGTCGCGATGTCCTGCTGATGAGGGGAATACATCATCCTCTTCAAATTGGCAAAATTTGCACCGCTTTTGGACTAGGTACAATAAGGTTGTGCTTGACTGTGCAGCAATCAGTCAGGAAAAGAATCACTTAGAGCAAGAGCAGAGGCACTTGAAGGTTATGCTAAAACAGTATCTCGATGACATATCTGTGAATGACAATGTGATGAGCCAAGGTAATGCTCTTTTGATGTGTAATCAAATTCCGAATGTAGTACGTCTCGCGGAGGAACAGAAGAAAGGTTATGTTGATTACAATACTGTCATTGATGGAAATAAATTTGTTGGTGATGTCCATCGACAAATGGTTCCTCGATAGAGGGCAGACGTTTCGACGCTGTTCTTGGTTATTCTCAGTGAAATCAAGCAAGTTGGGTATGATAATTGGGGAAATTATAATCACTAAAGAACGAAATGTTTTTGTTCAATACCATGTAGATCTTTTATGTATATTACTTTATCATTATGTTTGCGTTTTTTTGACATTCAAAATTCTCTTGCATGATTTTATTCATTTCGAAAGAGCGTAGTAGCGATTTTTCTTCCTCAAATTGTCGTTAGTTGGCTTATTCCTTCTCTCCCCCCTTCTTTCCCTCTTTTAGTCTTACCTGGTCTACTTCTCAAAGTTTTCCCTCGACAACTGCAATTTTGAATTTTCTGGCGTTGGGATTTCAAAAAAAAAACGGTTTCAGTAAAATCATATATATCTGGAAGCCATGTATAGTCAGACGATTACAATATATTTCATGGAGATGAGCTAAAATTAGGGATTGTGTTTTATAATTGTCAATGGATAAAGGAGGCATGAATTGGAACTATCGGACAGGAAGAAGTGCTTTTATGCACTCTCAATTAAGCTTCCGACGATCTCCTTTTATTGATACATTAAAGGAGTGGCACATCTCTATGAAAAAATAACGACCAAGCTCACGTTGCAAAATCTTCATTTGTCTTCTTCTGATTTATACAGAGTACTATGGTGGCTTCAGCACTAGTGAGCTTACAATGGAAGTCAAGTCTGTTTTAGTTTGTAGCAGGATCGTACTACCCAATTCAGGTCGTCGTGTATGGCTCTCCATCCATTTTGACAACAAGATCCTTGGTCTGAGTGTGAAGGTGATGTTGGCCTAAATGTTCACCTCAGCGAGGTGTTGAATACATCAATTGGTTTAGAACACAGCAAAGGGGAAGTCACCACGCACCATAGCATTTACCAGTGTTATCACTACTATTGCCCGAGAGAATCTTAATTAGGATAAGTTTAAGAGGTCGTGTCCAACGGCTAGATTTCAACGGCGTGTCACTGTACAAGATTTCGAAACTCATTCAGAAATTTTATTACCAGCATTACCCAGACCCATCTATAGGTTTTCTTCCTCCCCTGAGAGAGCGATCTGAGTATGTCGATTTATTGTGACCCTCTCGATCGCATTGATTTTGCTATCCTATGTAGCATTGATTGCCTGACGTACCTTATGTTTGCGAATTGATGATGGATTCCTGAATACTATAATCGTTTTCATGCTTCTAATAATCGTGAGGCAGAGATAAGTGAAATTAAAGATATGGTGGTTATTTTTCCAACTTTTTTGTTTTTTTGCCGTTTTTATTCTTTTGTTTCATTCCAACAAAATTTATCGAATTTTAATGTCCATTATTTCTTTTTGCCGACTCTAATGCAATTTTTTTTCCCGCATTCTTCTTAGTGTGAACTGTATTGGTGAATCAAGTGAATTATGCATGTAATTCTATCCTTCTTTTTATGTTGTCCTCAAGCTAAAGATATTCAACTGTAAAAACATGTCCTGCTAAATCCCAGGATATGCTTCCATAAGCCTTCATCAAATAATAGGTTAAATGTCATTTTCGTCATAAATTTGCTGGATAACATGTTTCCATATATATATATGAAGCCGTGTAATGGAAGCCCGAAAAATTAATAAGCCGCCATTTTTTTCCCTGCTATATAGGTATAGCATGTAACTATAGTACATACACATGATGTGCCTACCATCAATTTCAAAACCTTGAATCATCAACATTTGTGTTCCGCGCTTTGGTTAGTGTGAAATTACAAATTGATGGTTGTTTTTTTCAAATTAAATACCATAGATAAGTGCGTAATTATATTCGAACATAATCCAAAACGCTGGCTGCAAGCATGTTTCTTTACTCTTTCTCCTCGCCCGAGCTGTTTAACATTCATTTCATTTTACCTACACCTATGCTGCTGTATGTTCCTTTTTTTTCTGATTGGATTGTAGTAAACTCTATTTGATAAAAGTCGTTTTAAAGAATCTTTTATTCAGAAAATCTCGAACAACATGTCCATTATGGAATATAACGGAGGCTCCGTCCTTGCTATGGCAGGCAAGGAGTGCTTTGTGATTTTGTCAGATAATCGTCTGGGTGAAAGGTTCAAAACGATTTCTATGGAGGCGCCAAAATTACACGTTGTTAACGACGCAGTTGTATACGGGCTGACCGGATTGCAAACGGATCAACTCACTTTCTCGAACAAATTAAGTTTCCGAACCAAGTTATACAAGTTACGTGAAGAGCGGGATATAAGTGGAAAGGCTTTTGCGTCTCTTGTAGCATCTTTGCTGTATGAGGCTCGCTTTGGTCCCTGGTTTGTGGAGCCAGTTGTTGCTAGTTTGAACAAGAAGACTGGAGAAGTTTACCTTTGTGCAATGGATCTTTTGGGGGCTCCTTGCGAACCTGAGGATTACGTTTGCGCTGGAACATGCGCTAATAGCTTACATGGGATGTGTGAGGCCCTCTGGAGGCCTGGTCTTGGGGCAGAAGAGCTTTTTGAAATCGCTGCGCAGGCTATGCTATCGGCTTGCGACCGTGACAGCCTCTCGGGTTACGGTGCTGTTGCCATGATTGTTACCAAGGACAATGTTGTCACTCGTTTGATTAAAGGCAGGAAGGACTAATCCAAATATTTTTGTTTTTTTTTCTTGTGTGTGTTAGTGGGGGAGATCTAGGCTGTTAGGGAAAGATTATTCAGTAATATATTTACGTCTTGGGCCATTCAATGCCTCGTGAAAACAAGCACTTTGGCTTGTGCCGTTAGATCCAAGCGGTATTTTATGCTTAAACCGAATATAATCTTGATATTCGTTTTTCTGTTGTTTGTTTCCTTGGAATATGGTTGACGATTTTTTCTTGATTTCATTTATTGAGTTTCGTTAAGCGCATTACAAACGTTCATAAACTAAAGGAGAACTTCATTTCTTCTTGAATAATACTTTAAAGGATTTCCCTTTTCTCTTAAACGGATAATATATTTTACTCGTCAACTAGATTTACGTTGAAACGTATCATTAAAGGCCAGGGAGGACTCCCTTTAGCAAGATGAACGCTGCACCTATGCTCTTCTGCGCTCGTTGCAGCAATCTGTTATATCCTGAATGTGACCCCCAATGTAGCATGCTCTGGCGATGCAACTATTGTCAAACAACTGAAATACACGACGAATGTAAGATGGTCCATGTTTTAAACTTGAAGATAAAGAGTGATACTGTGGGTGAAACAGACCTTTTAGAAGAATTTGCAAGCGACCCGACCGCGCAACGGGATCCTACGAAGAAGTGTCCCAAGTGCGAGCTTAACGATGTCACGTGTTTTGTGAATCCGTTAGGTCAGCCACAAGAGGATATGACACTGTACTTTGCATGTGCCAACCCTAAATGCCGCTTTGTGTGGAGAAGTGAAGATGTCAGGGAACAAAACTGAAGTGTTATCGTCTGGTATATCGGGCATACAGATATTTTTATGCGAAGATGGCTGGAGGACTCTTGAATAGCTTCTACAAGTGATTAGAAATCAAAAATGAACGAGGATGATAAAACTTAGGCACAGTGAAACTTGGAAAAAAAAGTGGGGGAGGAAGCCTTTGACGTTGGTGTAATATTTTTTAATTATCTTTTCTATTCAGCGTCTGTTAGATGGAATTACGAATACTAAGTGGCACTACCTATGTCTGATACTAAGCATAAATCTGGGCTCGTTAGGTTTGTTTATGTCGCTTAGTCAAAACATTGAAGAATTATGAAATGCTATACAATGCTTTAGGAAAAGCACTCATGCTTAAGAATCTCTACTTATATACACAATATCATGGATTACTGCGTTTTGGTATAGAGTTTACTAGCATTTTCCTTTTCTCTACGCTATTTGCATCCCTCTGCCGTTTACTACTGCGCACAGATTCGGATTATTTCATATCTTTTTGGGGTTTAGGAAACCTGACATATGAATAGTTCCGTGACTTTTTTCTCGCTTGGAAGCACTGTTGCCTCTGTGTAATTCTTTTGGATGGTGCCTTCACATTCCAGCAAACGTCGTTTTTCCTACCCGCTTTGTGTTTTTCTTACCTTATTCCGCATATCATTTTCATTTGCTAATGGAGTTACTTTATGATGATAATCTGTGTGTGATTGAGGATATTTGTCATCTTACTTCATTACCCGATAGCTCCAGAATAACTAAGTGTTCATAATCTTGTTAATGTGAATTACGATGAGGCTCTTTTTTGTGCGGTATTGGATTTTATAAATCGCTGCTGGGGAGTCTAGAAATTGTCTCTATTTCATCCTGAACATTACCTTGTCCTTTTAAATTGGATTGTTGTAATCGTACACTTACGTTACACTCCAGGGACAGCACAATTTCGTTAGCGAGCTCTTGTTTCTAATCGCTAATAAAGCATTTTGTGTATAACCACAACGCTAATATTAGGCATGGTCCAAAAATGGAAACTATTTTTGTTTTCTGGAATTTCTTTCTTTTATTTTTCCCAATTTAAATGCTTCACAAATTTTTTTTCCATAAACTGTACAAAAAGAAGATGAAACCCATTGAAGAGAGCCACGTGGGGAATGCTCGAGTATTGAGCTATAACTTTAACATCCTTCCACGGGGGTGCGGTGGCTATCAGCATGAGCGTATCGACACGTTTCTCGAACTAGTAGGCTCATACGACATCCTTTTACTTCAAGAAGTGTATGCGACCAGCATTTTGCCCTATGCCTTTCAAAAACGTTTCTGCTTTAAGAAAATGTTGTTGGATGGGCTAAAGGAGAGAGGCTTTCACCATTACGTCATTTCTAGACAGCCTTCTTATCGTACAATGCTGCGCCATGACGTTATATCTGACAACGGTCTCATCATCGCATCGCGGTTTCCAATATGCCACCGAGGCTCCTATACATTCAGAAAGGAAGACGATGCATCGCATCTCATGCTGAAGGGGTGCATTTTTGCCGAAATCGAAATTCCAATGTCAAACAGTAACCATAGTGGACGAATTGTATTTTTTAATGTTCATTTACGTCCTGAGGAGCGGGTGCCATCTGAGTCGTCTCAGGTTCAACAAATGATTCGTTTTATTGATTCAGTTCTAAAGCAATTGGAAAATAATATAGAGGGCTCGCTTGATGTCAAATGTCCTTTCATTGTCGCTGGAAGCTTTAATATTCATGGTATTAAACCCAATACGAACCTTCCATCAAGGGCCTTCAACGACTTAACTAACGAACTGCATGCACTTGGAAACGTTAAGGATATTGTTTTTGAAGAGAACGGTTTCAATCCACCGACGCGTCCCGCGAAGCTATTCTTTCCTACACGTCACAAACTGGAAAGCAACCCGTCCGTTCCTCAGCGAGAGGACTACTTCTTCATTCTTCATCCCATAGAGGCGTCGGGTTCTCAGTTGGAAAAATTTATTGTAAGTAGTCGCCGCCCATATACGTACCTTTCTGATCATTTTGGTATCAAGTCTGTTATTTCTGTCCCCGTCCGACGTGATCAACACACGCGAAGGCAGTCGTCATCTCTTCTAAAAATATCTCCGCTAGTCGAACAGGTGCACCATGAGGCGTCCAACCCGACCTCTGCATATCACTTGGATCTATTTCTAATTTTTTGTGTCGCATGGATGACGCTCACTGTCAGTATCAAACCTTTCCTCCTTACGTGCCTCATTTGGCTGATTGTGCGCTGCTCACGCTACACTCTTAGCGGCTTGCCTGACGAAGCTCACTTTACCTTCGTCACGGATAAGGTTATAAAGGGTGAAGCCGAAATGCATCTTTCCCCTCGAATTCCCGACCCTTTACCCCACGTGAAGAACCTTAGTGAGATGTGGAAGCGTTCGGTTGTTCGCTTCCGAAGGCGTCGCTGCTTGGGTAGCACAGGGTACATGGGACAAGTGAGCTGGATTTCGTATGACACGACGGACGCACGTGCGCGGGATCTTGGTGCAGGCCTTCTTTCCCTAGGCTTGAAATTCGGGGACACCATTGGCGTTCAGTGTGAGGCTTGTCGTAATGCGTCCATCCTTGATATTGCCTGCGTTATCTACGGATTCAATACCCTGGGTCTAGCTGGGAAACGAAGCCACATTCGATCGCTGTTAGACCAACACCGCATCAAGGTAGTCTTTGCGGGACGTGATGCTGTGGCTGCCCTTCTTACCTGCCGTTCTGTATCTTTGGAAACCATCATACACTTTCATTCTTTTGCGGACAGTGATGATCTAGCTGCCGCAAAGGATTTGAACATTGCTCTTATTCCTTTTGAAAGTGTCGAGCTTAGCGGCCGCCTAAACCCACAGCAGCCCTTAGAGAAGCCCACCCCTGACACCATCTTCAACTATTCGTTAGACAATGTGTCCAACTCCGAAGCTGATGTTGTCTACCCCATGTCACAGGGCCAGGTCCTACGGGATATCAAAAACATGCTTCAAAATTCCGTGCTTCCCGGGAATCATCAGCAACATTGTATGCTATGGTTTTCATCTTACGCGTCTCTTTTCAACCGAGTGTGTATTCTAGGACTTCTGTCACAAGGAAATGCTATCGCTGCAACTGATTCCGCGCGCTTGCAGGAGGCTTTCTTAATATTCAAGCCTTCTCTACTAGTCGCATCTCCTTCGATGTTTAATGCTAGTAGTTTTCACCTCAGTCGTGCAAGACAAGGTCGCATATTTCTGTACAAGTGGTTGTTTGATCGTGCATATCAGCTGCGCTCACGCCTTATCTATATTAATAAACGGGATTCCTCACTCTTACGCTTCCTTTTTTTCAGGACCTTTGAACTTCAGCTTGGTGGAAATGTTAGACGCATTATATTGAATATCTCTGAGGAGAGTTCCTCTTTTCCCCTGATTGAACATATATCTGTGTGCTATTCATCTCATTTACGGGAGGTGAGCTACATCAACTCTGTGGGTCTACTTGTCGTCGACGGTATACCGGCACCCGGTCTTCGTTTGGAGCTCGTACCGATGGAAAAATTGTCTGAAAAGGCCCAAATCGGTGAGCTTAACATTACCAATCGATGTATCGAACAACGGCATCTAAAGATTGCTGCACGCTGGGAGAAGTCCCGGACCCTCACCCTCCTCGGTAGCTCATCGGGAATTCTTTGGCCGGTTGACTATCAATACACGATTTCTAACGAGCTTGAACGTCTGTTTGCTTCTTCTCGTTATGTGAATGACATCTTTGTCTTTTGTAAACCAATGAAACCGCTGGTCGCGGTTGTGTATCCTAATCGAGATACAATTGAGTATGAATGGCAACAGATTCATAGTATGACACCGCCGAGGCCCTTCATTTGGAGGGACCTGGTCGAATTTGCGCCAGATCTCATTCGAGCGGATCTGAATAAAATAGCTGAGGAGCATTATTTGCATCATTCACAAAGAATAGAGTTCATTCATCTCCATCCGCATGCTTTTCGTGACCACAGTGGCTTCCTTAACCCTTTCGGTAAAAACCGACGTGAATGTATGGGAAAGTATTTTCTTTCTGTCCTGTGTCGCTTTTATAATGAGACAAGCCTTCACCCGATGGCGAATATGACTCCCCTATCTAACAGTAGCTTGGGTGAAACCGATAGCGAACAGATGAATATCATGAGTCCTTCCACCATGAAGGAAACTCTGCGGCTGAAGGTGCCAATTGCACTTGATATTGGTGGCACATTTACAAAGATTGCGTATGTCGTGCCGCCGGGCATGCAAGAAATTGATTCACTATCTTTTATCATCCATGAGGCTTCTTCTCTCACAGATGCAATGGGGGGCCGATTGTTTTCCTTTTTCGAGGATGGAAATAAGGCGAGGTGTGAATCTGAGCAATGCCCGTGGTCCCATGTTGGAAAGATTCGTTTCGCGAGGGTTCCGTCTCAAAAAACACATCAGCTTGTAGAGTTCTTTGCAGAGAATAAAGTGATCAATAATTACAAAAAAAAGTACACCAAGAGGGTACGTGCCACAGGTGGCGGGGCGTACAAATATGCTTCACTCGTGAAGGAAGCTCTTAATGTTGAGTTTGACGCCGTCAAAGAAATGTATGCTGTTGTGAAGGGCTTAAACTTGATTATAGACCAAGCACTAAATTCCATTTTCACTGTCGATGTGGCTTCCGGAAGACATATGCCACATCGGCTCACAGGATCTGGTGATTCGTTCGCGCCGTATCCATACTTATTGATTAATATCGGGTCTGGTATTTCCTTTATCAAGTGCTTCGGTCCAGACGGTTCACATGTGCGGGTTGGCGGCTCGCCTATCGGTGGTGCTACTTTTTGGGGTCTCACCCGAATTCTTACAAACTTAACATCATGGGATGAGGTGTTGGAAATTATGCGTCTGGACGGTCCTGGTGACAACAAAAACGTGGATTTGCTTGTAGGTGATATATACGGTTACAATGTGAAGGAACTGCCTGCCATGTTGTCTTGCGAGAGTGTCGCAAGCTCTTTTGGAAAGTTTGGATCCGAGCGTTTTTACGAAGCAGCTTGTTCTGGCCCTGTTGATCATTTTGCTGATGATAATACTGGGGAGCTTCTTTCTCCAGTGTTGAATATGACAACCGCTCCGTTTCACGCACAGAATTCTGATAAATCGCCGTCTGTTGCCTCTTCACTCGATATTGTACGATCTTTACTGAATATGATCTCTGGTAATGTTACCCAACTCGCCTATCTTCATGCAAAAATACATGGCGTGAAGAACATTTTCTTTGCTGGTGGTTTCGTGCGGAATAATCACCTTGTTTGCAGTCTCATCAGTGCCACATTACTTTACTGGTCCTCCGGGGAAGCTAATGCACATTTTCTTGAGCATGATGGGTATTTAGGTGTATTGGGGAGCGCTGTATGTGATAAGTCTTCAGAATAGACTATCATTTAGGTTCTCCAATAATGGGAATATATATATATATATATATGACTGCATGCGTGTGTACCTTGTATTATTAGAATTTTTTTACTCGCTAACATAGTCATTTTATCTGTCTTCATCGTGAGATTGTTTCGCAGCATGTTATCTTTGAATTTGTGTAAGGGATAATATGAAATTATCAATGCGCATCTTTTATAATATGTTGCATGTACTTTCTAATTCATTTAACATTGCTCATTCAGTAGTAGCAAAGGTTCTTTAACCGCAAAGGACTTCAACAAAAGCTGCTGTACTTCGGAATTGTCTGAGAGCTTTAAATCTATGGCATCGGAGTCTTCTCTTTTCTCAAGCATTTAAAGCCTTTTGAACTCATGCGAATGTGTTCGATGATATTTAACTGACCTGGAGAGACAAATCTTTAAGTGGGAATACTATAAAGTGTGAAGCATATGTTGACGATGAGCCTAAGATTCCCTTACCCTATTGATCATGCTCTGCAGGAGGTTTTCTCTTTCTGTTGGTACTGTTAAAAGTTCTCACTAAAAGGGTCACTCTATAGGGAAGACATGATTTAATTTTGTTAATTTCAAATTGCATTATCTATTTAATGATAGAATAACATATATATATATACATATTTATATCGTTGATAAAAACGGATTTATTCTAACAATCACTAATCTTTTCTGGATCTAATATGCTTTGCGATAGTTTGAAGTCCGTCTATATTATCCATCGTTTAGGCATTAGGTCACGTATTCTAATGCTTACTAAATGCATGTCTATTTTATTCTCCTTATTTCTTTCACTGTGACCAGCCACAGCTTTCCTTGAATTTCGCTCATGCATAAGTATGTCTTATTTTGGTATTTACATTTGTTGCTTCCTTTCCTTTCAACTATCTTTTGTCGACGTTTTGGATCCTATGCTTTTGCCTTGTCACTAATGTTTTCCTTACGGAGAATATTAATTTGTATTGATGAGTTCAATGTCAAGTTTAGAGCAAAACATTGATGATGAGCCCGCTATGATTTCTCTCGCGGGTGGACTTTCAAATAGTTATTCACTTTTAGAAACTTTAAGTAGTAGCCTATCCAGCTGCTCGCGGACCGATGAATCGGCAAGGTCACCTGGGAAAGGAAAGCAGACCCTCCAACCGCCCTCGCCTCAAAATATTGAGGATGAGATCTTACAGGAAATTATGCAAAGCCGCACTTATGGTGAATGCAATCTCGCTGCTCTTCAGCTATATCTAGTACCTTCTGGGCTTCCCTTAGACTCGCTTACATTGCTTAATCTATCGCAGAATAATTTGGTCGAGCTGCCACAGGAGATGTTTATTCATCCCTGCTGCCAGCATTTGAATAGTATTGAGATTAATTCAAATAAATTGAAGCACCTTCCTGCGTCTTTGTTTTATTTACCGAAAGTTAAAATCTTGATGCTCAATGGCAACCATATAGCCACTCTCCCACAGCTGGATCCCGATAGAAAAATATTACCTTCCCTAGAGCGAGTGGGGCTGGAGAATAATGTGCTAAAGGAGTTCCCAATTTGTTTTTTTGAGCATTGCCAATTTCTGAGAGAAGTCCTGCTTGGGCAAAACGAAGAAATGCTTAAAAAGGTCCTTCCGTATGAAAGTCTCTCTAACTGCATTCTTGCAAGGATGTGGAATAAGAACGGGGAGGGTGAACAGACATTGCTTAGAATAGATAATAGGCCACTGATAGTAGAGCAGATTGCAACCGAAGATTGGTCCACAAACCTCTCATGGCTGTCGCTTTCCTTGAACAAAATTTACCCTGATAAAGTGATAGACTTTTTATTCATCGGATCTCTGCGCACAGCTCAAACAGCTTCAGTTTATGACGATTGTGGCATTAGATATGTTCTGACTATAGGAAGGGATATGGAGGTGAAGGTTGAACCGGGTATGTTTCACAGAATCCTTCTATTTGACGACTTTCCCGAGGAGAATATTGCCTTTATTTTCAAGGAGGCCTTTGAGTTTATTGATCAAGCTAGGAAATCAAAATTTGGTGTTCTTGTACATTGCTTCGCTGGGCTGTCACGCTCTGTTGCTATTGTAGCGGCTTACATCATGAGGGAGATGCATATCTCGTACGAACAGGCCATATCAATTATCAAGCGTGCACGGCCTGCGGCACACCCTAATGAGGGGTTTGTTAAAACATTACTAGAAAGCGAATCAAAACTAATTAACGGGTTTTATTAGATAATTACGGATTGAAGTTTTGTTCTTGCAGAGGTGTTTAATCACTTTGTAATAGCTTTGCTTCAATTTTCCAATAGTTCAGACCACTTTTTTGTTACAATGAATACGATTATTGCCGATCTCATACAGTACTATTTTTATTATAGAATGTGTGTCTTTACTGTTTTAAAACACTGAAAGTGAAGCGTAATATTGATCTGTAAACTGAATGTTTTTTTTTGAGGTTGTAGTTTCTTAGGTATTCCTATATTATAAGAGGGACAAGTGTTTGTTTTGGTGTTGCTTTTGAAACTTTGATTCGAGGTTGTTTTGAAATGTGTTCCAGTGGATCGTTTAGCTAGAAAGTGAATATTAAGGGAGTTTTTTTGTGTTTGTTTCATTATCCTCTTAAATCATCTTTTGCCATATGCTTTTTAAATTTATTTTTACATCTCCTCTTGAATATCTCTATAGAGTCCTATCCAGGCCGCATTGTAATACTGTGATAAATTTTAGTTATGAAGCACATCAGTGTTAACTAGACTCTCTATTTTTGGCATATTTCTATCACGTAACTGTTTGTACCACAGTTCTCTTGTGCATTGCTGAGGGTGATAAAGGTTAAGGGTTGGGTCCAAGACACCTGCAAGCAACAACCTAAGCGTGGGACGGAAATCTCTCCATTTAATTAATTTTGTCACCTCTTATTGAGCCAATACTTTGCCTTTGGAGTACTTAAACAAAATAATTGTTATTATCAGTTCATTTTCTTAATCCGCTTGTAAACACTACTGGTAAAAAAGAAACAATCAACGGTATTGTAGGACAGGCTGCGAATCTTGAATTTTTATTTTTATTTGGTCCTGGATGAATTGTATATTTACGTATTGCTCCTTTTTTTACTTATTCATGGCCTTTTTGCTCCTCCATTTATCAGAGGAGCTTAAGATTTCAAGATTGAGGATCTCTCTATTTTAGTGTGTTTCTATTGTTGTCCCAGTAATTAACGAAGCTGTTTTGATTTTACTAAAATGGCTGTCCATTCAATTACATGGTGATGTTTGCCTTCCTAATATTGCTTTGTAAACCTAAACAACAGGAGAAAATCATATTATTATTTCCCTATTCACAACATTTCCTCTTTCTTTTTTTTTGCGTCTTTATAGCAACTAGCGTTCGCGAATATTCATAATTTTTGTGTGTGTGCAAAATGATAATCGTTATGTCCTTATTTATGAGACCTCCTCCTTTTAAGCCGGTGATGATGGAAAGCGAATTTGTCATTTGTACTAATTTGTAGAGCGGGGTCACGAACATTCGTGTCTGTAGAGGTTACTCGTTTATTTGTCCATCCTATTATTTGTTTTCTTCTTATAGGTTTGAACTAGGTGGGAAGAGAATTTTTCCTTGTCCCAGTTGGCATTACATATGCGTAGAAATAGTTCCAGATGAAGCAACACTATGATTACTTAACATTTCCTATTCAATGGGAAGATGTCGCATTAACTGAGGTCTTTCAGGCGAAGCTGAATGATGCGAAGGCAGCGAAGTTAGGCGATAGAATACTAACTTATGAGGGGTTTGGGTCTTTCCATTCCCCAAACATTGACGATCTCATGCGCTCACTCGACATTGGGCGCCCGGCACCACCGTCCTTCTTTCCGTCCTTTGCTCGGAAAATTCTTTCCAACGACGACCTAGAGAGGCTTGGTATGTTTCATCCTAAGTCTTTTCCAGACGTATCAAAGAGGATTTTGGGCGGAAGGCAAGCCAAGGATGCCTCAGAGATGTCTCACCATGTTACGGAATACCTTAAGGAAACGGATTTATCCAGGAATATGATCAAACACAGTGAAGGGGGATGCACTGCTTGCCTCCATGGTGCGTGCGAGGATGCCATGTACTCTCTTTGTATTGACAGCAATACTCAACATGCTCATAGTAACGATACCATCTGCGTGTGTCCGATGGGTCATGAGTTTCGTGAGAAATACTTTAGAATAACACCCAGCATGACCTTTATTAATCATGGCGCTTTTGGTAGTGCTTTAAGTGGAGCTATTGCCATTAAGCACTGGTACGAAGAGGAGATCGAAAGCGAAGTGGTCGACTTTATAGATCGAAAACTTTTTGAGCTCCTTGTTTATAGCACTTCATGCATTGCTCATTTTGTGCATGCGGATCCGAAGCAGCTTGTTATCGTACAAAATGCCACATTTGGCATGAATTGCGCGATGGAGTTGATTACTGAGGGAGATGTTGTCGCATACATCGATACCGAGTATCTGGCCGTATACAATATCTTGCTGCTTCGTTGTCAAGAGGTCGGGGCAGCATATCACGAAGTAGCTCTTTCTAAATACCTCCACAACGAGGAAATTATGGGTGATGATGATGCCCTTACAGAGGCAATCTGTAGTCAACTCCCTCTTGGGTGCACAGTGATGGTTATTGATTATATCACCTCTACAACTGCTTTGTGCTTCCCTATCTTCACTCACGTGATACCTGCCCTGCGACAGAGAGGTGTCAGCAAAATTATTGTTGACGGTGCCCACGCGCCACTTCAGGTTGATTTAAACTTCCACTCACTCCCACGAGAATCCCAGCCTAGTGTATTTACTGCCAACCTTCACAAATGGTTTTCGTCACCTAAATCTGTTGGCTTTATGTGGGTGCGTGAGGAAGACATATGCAAGATTCAGAGCGTTGTGCGCTCGCACGGTGCGACGAGTGGGTTTCATTCGAAATTTATGTGGATTGGAACTTCTGATTTTGGCGCGAGTTTGTGCATTCCTGCATTGGTTGATTTTTGGAAATCTCAAGACTGCAATCGGATCCGTCAATGCTGCACCAACCTCCTCGTTTCTGCCGTGGACATGCTTACTCGGTCCTTTGGGACTCGCAAAGTAGCACGAAGGTCTTCGTTCATGTCCCTTATCGAGCTTCCCGAAGCCTTACAGAGCGAGTTAGCCACTGCCAGGTATATCCAAGACTTGCTACATGATTTCTATAAAATCGAGGTTCCTGTAAAATGTGTTGAGGGAAGGCTTTATGTGCGCATCAGCGCCTTTGTGTACAACACCCCTGAGGAATACGTCTACCTTCGAGAATCTATACTCTCCTTGTCTGACCAGTGGGTCCAGTCCGTGAAGCATCGTGAACAGGTCTGCTCTTCAAGGTAAACTCAAATCGAGGGTTTGGTGGCGTGAAAAAGGTTAGATTTCATGGTGAATTCACAGAGGACTTTGTCTTAAGTAGTGCTAATAACCAAATGTTTCCATACGTGATATGCAAAGCTACTAATGCCAAACATATGAAGAAGAACCCGTAATCAACAGAAGGTGTAGTCTCTCAAGTATTTTACTTCAGAATATGCGCCTTAAGCGATTTATATCATGATGACTACTACTCGGACAAAAATTTCAATGTGAACGATATGGTAAGTAGATATTTTAGACAATGGTAATGGCAATGACATTTTTTTAGCCGCGGTATATGCCTGCTACCTCTTCGTGGTGCCGCGGACTAGTAACCAATTGGCGAAACTAAGTGCCTGCACGCCTTCCCGTTACCGGCGGAGGCATGTAGGCTTGGCTACTGGTACTGGTAGGGCATTCGACAGGGCCTCCCCTGAGGCTGTCCGAGCGAATAAAAGACTCCGACTGAACACTGTTAACGCTTATCTGGTCTCCAGATACAGCTTCAAATACACTAGGGACGTTCAAGCCTTACTTCTACGTTGTGGAGATATCCACGAGAACCCAGGACCCCTTCAGCGTAACACAATGTGCATTTTTTTCGGAGCCTTTATTCTTACATTGTGTTTTATTTTATATTTTCTACCACCTTTTTAAACAACACTTTTGGGTATTTTGTTTTTAAATTAGCTTCATCAATGTGTTTTAGTACTTTATGTATTTTGCCTGGGCGACGGTACTTATATTTTTTCACTGCTTTCTCTACATTATGCTTGATCCATATACATCTGTAACAGGAAGTTTAGAATAAAACACCCTAAAAGCAATCATAGGAAGATCGCCAAGCTCGAACTAAATTATTGTTAAAAATCCAAAGGGAAGCAAAAAAGAGATCAATTGAGAGTATGCCTCCGACAAAAGGTGGAAAACGCCCGATTCCGTTCGGTGGAAAAGGCAAAGGTAAGCGTTTCACTGGTAAGGCTGCAAAACCTGGCGGTGAACACAAGCGCAGAGCGCACAAGAAGAGACAACATTGGGACTTGTACATTCACCGTGTCTTTCACCAAGTTATTAAGCGTGGATCTCTGAGCAAGACCTCTGTGAGGGTTCTTTCATCATTTATTGAGGATATGTTTAACAAGATCCAGTCGGAGGCAGTGTTCGTCGCGAAGATAAACAAAGTCAAGACACTAACAGCGCGTGAAATTCAGACTTCTGCCCGGCTTCTTCTTCCTCCGGAAATTGCTAAGCACGCCATGAGTGAAGGTACGAAGGCGGTCGCCAAGTATAATGCTACTCGTGAGGAGGCGTATTCAAAGAGTGGTCTCTGAGGGTTCGATGTTGAATCTTCATTAACTAGATTTCTTTTCGTTTTCTTAGTGGGACTCCATTACGGTGTTCTTGTCCCTTTTATTCAGACTATTTCAGATGGAAAAATATGCATAGAGATGCTTTTGCCGCTAGCTTGCGGGTTATATTTTATTATATTGTATTTGTCATGTGCACCGATCAATGTGCATTTATATTCGCACACTCAGCTCTATCTTCCCATTTTCTAGAGTTAATACACTGAGATATTATTAAATAGAATTGAACTGAATTCTAATTTTCCTTACTAGCTTGAAAGTAGTAAAGTAAATGAGCTTGATCGCAAGTGCGTGCATTCGAATTTTAAAAGCACACTTGCTTAATGCTTTCGAGTTCATCAATTTTTTGCACGATGTTACAGTGGCCCCTCTTTTATTTATCCCAGTGGGCCCTTTTTCCTTACATTTACTTGCTGTTGACACCTAGGTCTACTTCGTGAAGTAGGACAACAACGAGGGGAGCAAAGATTTTAAAGTTTTTTTTAAACTATATTATCTCTTCCTAAATAAATACTTTCGATAAGGCTTGCTCTTGACTAAGTTTTTCGGAAGGAAATGTTACGCTCGCAAGAACTGAAGCCGCAGGAGGCTTTAAATACTTCGACGCCCTCAGGTGTGGAGGTTGTGATACCCTCCAGTTCACTTCAGTTGCCCTATATATCCGACGAATGCGCAGATTATAAAACTCGATACAACACGTCTCAGGTAGCTCTTGGCAAAATAAAGCGAAGGAAAATTTGTGGTATCACGTTCTACTTTAGCCCAGACTGTTGTTTGTTTTGTGTCCCCACCGTCATCACCTTATTACTTGCGGGGGCTAACATTTTTATCTTATGGAGTGACATAAATATTCTTGAATTGAGTGTTGTGGTGGTGCTCCTATTTATTGCATTCCTGACGTCTTTTCTTTTGACGTGCACTGAACCTGGTGTGTATCCGCGTCTGAATCCTGGTGAGGAAGATCCCCTCGGCAAGGATTCTTCATTGGTATATTGCCGTGTGTGTGGCTTGCGTCGCCCTCCACGTACGTCGCACTGCTACGTGTGTGGCGTTTGTGTTTTGGAGCACGACCATCACTGTAAAATTATAGGAGGTTGTGTAGGTATCCGCAGCTTGCGTTGGTTTGTCATTTATTTGTTATCAGTTGCATCAGCCTCTTCAATTGGATTATTTTGGTCAATCCGCTTCCTTTTCTGCAATGTAATTTTCCCGGATGCCGCGAGCGAATTCCCACTCTCAGCTTTAACCCTGAAATGCGAGGCTCAGAAGAACAATATTACAGGTACGAATTCGAATGCTGACTCAGCTAGGAGTGACATGTATGATATACATGTAGGTGCTGTTTTTTTGTTGGCCTTTAATATTGCAATGGTTATGACATTGGGGTCTATGTCTTTATTGTATTTACTTCTAGTCTGCTCATCTAAAACAAGACGTGAAATTCGAAGGAAGAGTTCTACGGGAACTGCCAGACGCCGCTTTAGATTCTGTGAAAACTTGATGCATACTATTTTTCCACCACCTTCCATGTTGGAGTACTCTAAGCTGAGGATCAGTGATAGGACTCCACTTAACCTTGTATAATTTTTCCGTTTAGATCAATATGTGAGCGCAACCAAACGTGCTGTAATGATTTTGGTGGTAATAACGTTCTATGAGATTGTAAAAATCTAACTCCGACGAAATACATTTTCACGCACATGAATATTACTTTAATATGACATTGTGTCTCTTCCTCTTTGATTAATTATGTTGTGACTGTTTTGCTAATAAAATATTCTTACTATTGCCTCTTGGGGTGGTATATTGCCAAACTGTGTACCTTATTTTAAATTTAAGGAAAGAGTTCGGCATAGAGTATTCTGTCTATGGTGTTGTAGTCGATTGTAAGTTTTACTTCTTTACCTCGATGGCTTCTATTACTGATGAATAGGTTGCTTCAGAAACGAATATATGAGCATACCTAACCCGTCTGAATTTTCTTTTAAAAAGCATTCTATCCCTGTTTCATAATGCAGAGCGAAACATCAACGCTGCGGATGAATGTATTCGGTTGGTATATGAAGGAGACTCAATGGTACCACATTCGAGTGTGAGACCTCTAAAATTGTAACGAGTGCTGAAGGAGCATTCTGATCTGTGTCCTACACAAGCAGAATGAATCACTTTCAATTCGGACTCACTTCTTTTCGGAGGAGGAATTGGGAAGCAGGCGAGAGAATCTTACCAATGTCATTGGAAGCTATTTGTGACATAAAATTGCTATTCATGTTTTTGTTTCGCAAGTCGTTGATGTAATCTTTTTGTGTTGCAAAACCCGTGGAACAGGGACGTGATTGCCTCGTGATATCATATGGATCTTATCGTCATAGATCTTGTTCAATGGAGCATTGAGTTTGCGAATGATTGAAAATGTCACCTGATATGTATCACTTGAACAGCAACTATACTTAAAATGAAAAAAAAAGGATTATCGTTTTCTTTATGGATGAGTAGGTTGATAGCATTTCTCCTTATGTGCTTTGGACATTTAATGCTAATATAAGATTCCATTTGCTGCTATATGTATTCATAGAGTAGAAAAGTCTTCTTGACTTCTCCTTTTAATTTTTACCATTCTCGCTCATCATGCTGGTTGTCGTCGCGTTGTAGGAGAGCTTGTTATACACACATGGGGTCTATGTCGAGCCCTAGCACTTGCGACAGAGCCCAAGTGTCCTTACCTTTGAGTTCCAAAATGCATATCTGTACGATAATTAACATTTTTTTGATTCGACGTTATTGCTCCTCCCTCAAAAATTTTCTTCATACAATGATCCGTCTTTCAAGTAAAATCTTTAAGATAATAATTCTTTTACATCTCGTTGCATATAAAAATCTTAAGTAATGGTCTCTGTATCCAGACTTTTGGGTGCCGGTGCCGTTTTCGTTGCTGCAGCCATGGGAGGCACTTACACAGACCCTTCATGGACCCGGCGCAGGTTCGATCCAAAAGCAAACCCACCTTTTGTATTTAGCGCCCCCCCTCCTCGAAGCGCGTGCATTCAGAATTTAAAAGAGCATAACTCTCCAGAAAACCCCTTGGATGTGATGGTGATTGGAGGAGGTTCTGTCGGGACTGGGGTGGCACTGGATGCAGTTACCCGCGGTCTTTCCGTGGGTCTTGTGGAGATGGGTGACTACGCCAGTGAGACAAGCAGTCGCAGCACGAAACTCATTCATGGTGGCATTCGATACCTGGAAAAGGCGGTTTTTCAGTGCGATTTAATGCAGATGAAGCTGGTAGCCGAGGCACTCAGTGAACGCAGCATTATGATCCACCAAGCACCTCACCTTTGTCACGGAATTGCAACTCTCCTTCCGTGCTATTCCCCTTATGAGGTTGTCACATACTGGGGAGGAGCCAAGTTATATGATTTCATTGCGGCCCTTTACGGTGGCACAATCGCTTACTCCGGGTACGCAACGGCGTACAAGACCATGTCCCTCTGTCCCAATTTGCGCAAAGTTAATGATCGTAACAAGCCTCTTCTCGGCGCGGTGCGCTATTACGATGGCCAGATGAATGACGCCCGCTTGTGCTTTTCGGTGGCTATGACAGCAGCCTCGTACGGTGCGGCAACCGCCAATTACACTGAAGTCAAGAAGTCCGAAGAGATCAAGGACGCGTCTGGAGAGAAGCTTGTGCGTTTAACCGTGAAGGATCTTTTGAAGAATGAGGAACTAACCGTATATTCCAGGTCCATTGTCAATGCCACTGGACCATTTGCCAGTGAGGTGGAAAAGCTTTCCGGAGGCAAAAACACTGTCGAGAACGTTCCTTCGTCGGGAACGCACATCGTCATTGAGAAACGGTATTGCCCTCGTAATCACGAGGCTATGGTGTTTCCATCATCAGATGGGCGTGTCATCTTCACGATCCCATGGCTTGGTGGCTGCCTTATGGGAACTACTGACGAAAAAACGGTTATCACGCATGATCCTAAGCCTAAAAAGAAAGAGGTTGACTTTATTTTGGAAAATGCGAGATCGTTTTTTGGCGATATCCCGCAGGAAGCCGTTATGTCCGTTTGGTCTGGCATTCGCCCACTGGCGAAACTTAACACTCACGGGCGTGATAATGAGAGCACCGAAAATATGGTTCGTGAACACGTCATTACAGTAAATCCGGATAAACTGATGGTGACAGTAACCGGTGGCAAGTGGACAACATATCGCAAGATAGCCGAGCAAACTGTTGACACCCTGCGCGATACTATCATGAAAACGAAAAAAACATTCAAGCCATGCTCTACCAGCAATATTGTGTTGTATGGTTCTCGCAAATTTGACAGCGTTCCTGTTGTGCCGACGGAGGGTGTGCCTAAGGACGTTCATGAGCATTGGAGAGGAAACTACGGTGACTCCTACAGTGAAATATGCGCCCTGGCTCAAAAGGACAATCAAAAATATCTCAAACGATTGGTTGAGGGATGTCCTGTGGTCGAGGCTGAGGTGCTGTGGTCAGCAGAGAAAGAGCACTGCGAGCATGTTGTCGACTTTATATCCAGACGAACCCGGATGTCATTTGTTAACGTGAAAGCTGCCGAGGCTGCAATTCCTCGTGTGTCTGAGTTGATGGGGCAGGTGAAAAAGTGGAGTCGGTCTAAAATTAATGAGGAAAAAGCTCATGCCTTTGCTGCAATGAACTCATTTAAGTGCTAATTTTTATATTTGATGCTTTTGCTCTTTTTTCCCCGATGCTATGATCATATATGTGTGTGTTTTTAAGAGGAATATGACTTTAGGCGACATAAAACAGTATTTCGAAGAATCATCCATGAGTTACAACCATTTTTGTATCGTGGATTTCTTTCTAGGCTCTATTATTTCAAATTAATAATATTACCTTGTAATATAGAACCTTATATTTTTCATTGATCTATTATTTCTCCTTCTGAATAAGAATGCGATATAAGGAGAGTTTATACTCTGAAAAGTTTGTGAAATACATGTTTACGTAAAAATATAATTTTATCAAAGATATTGATGGCGCAGTATTTATATAAAAAAGAAATCTTTCTTTTCAGGCTTTGTTTTCGTGAAAAACACCAAGAAATAAATAATATTTATAAATCAAAATTCAATTAAGTAATAATAATTCATGGCTTATGTGTGAAAGTAAAAGTTTTATGAGTTTCTATGTTCTTCCTTGGATTTGATTTCAAAATGCACTTCATCGAAATCATTCATCCACTAGAACTACATGCAAAAAACTGTTGAACTTTTTATACAATCATCTCATCTAGTAGATGACTTAGTTTGTTGCTTTATAGTTACTATCAATAGAAAGTTGCTCCCTTTTTCTTGGTCTGCGTGTATATCGTAATACTCCCTTATAAAAAGGGGTAAATCACATGACTACTGCAGAACAGCTTGGTGTAGGTGGTGTGAACGCGGACGGTAAACCCGTCTTTGTTGCTACTGTACACAGACAGTATGCCCCTAGCGTAGATCGTGAGTTAACTGATCAGGAGAAACTTTCATGGAAGTCGTTCCAGCTCTGGCGCACCGCACAGTCTATCGAACGACGTGACAACGTTTACAAGACGATCATCAACTCTGATTTCACGAATTTTAATCTTGATTATCACATCTTGGGGACACCGTTTCCTGTTGTGGATGATAAGACACACTTTCTGGATTGCATGATGGGTATTCGATGGTATGAGCACCTCATTTCTGCATTTGGAGGCTACGGGTACGCCTTGTGGGCTCGTTCAAAAGCGTCTATGCAGTCGACAAGAGCGTCTTTTAAAGCTAACCGGACCATCTTTGTTTCCACATTTATTCTTGCTGAGGTAGCCTTCTGCTACCGCAGCATGTTCCGTCTTGCTGGGTTCTTGCCTAATGATTATGAGTGTCGTAAGTACGGTGTATTAGAAGACAAGGAGCGACTCGAGAAGAAGAAGGAGATGTGGGAGAGGTATGCCGCTTATAAAAAGGAATGGTGCCGACGTTTTGACTATCACGTTTACGGGATTCGCCCGGGTGAGAACTGGAGCCTTTTTTCAGCGTGCTGGATTCCAGCATGGGAGCCATCTTTTAACACTAAAACCGATTACCCGCCACGCAAAAATCCCTATTTTCTCACCGCAACACCTTTGCGTGATAAGTTTATCGAAAATCCTAACTTTTACGAGGTCCCGACGAATGATAATGTGCCACTTATTAAAGCACGCCCAGAATTCAAATACATTTATCGTGGGCCTATTGATGCATTAGCGAATAGGAAGGATAATTAAGTTAGTTTCACTTTGTCCCCCTTTATGGAATTAAAAAGGGTATGGGGATCTTGTGTAGGGCTTATAGTAGGAATTGTAATTTTTTGGAGGCTGTTTTGCACATGACCCTCTCGTATATATTGTTTCCATGTAGTGCTCTTTACTGCGTCTTTTTGTCTGCGAATTCATTTCTCTTCCAACTGGCTATTCAGGCGAAGGGAAATATATTTAGTGAAACGTGTAGTATAGAAAATCAGGAAGACCATTGTAGACTTAGTGCCGTTTATTAGTGTGATTATTTAAATATAATTGTATTATTCTTTTATTGACCGTTTGTGGGACTGGTGTAGGGGAATTCGCTTTCCCCTTTCTACACTTTGAAATCTAGCTCAACCTCTCTTTTTTTTCTGATTCTCCTCATTTTATTATGTAGTAGATTGTGCAAAACACTTCAGCATTGATGTAATGTCAGTTTCTGGGATTGAATTAAAAGTAAGTAATTAAATTCTATATTGATCGATTTTATGCTGCGAGTTTTTCTACCGACCCGATGAGCCTGGATAAACGTATCCTTGATATTTCTCAGATGTACCCGAACACATCAACACGGTTACTGGTAACTAACTTTTCCACATTGTGCGCAGATTTCGACGAAATATTTGCTGTCAAATGCCTCAAGGAATCTGTTGCTGAGCGCATCCAACACTGTATCACACAAAGTGGCGGTAGAGCGGCTAATTTGTGTAAACAATCCAGCCTACCAGGGCTGCAGACGCGGCTTCTTGAAGAGTGGTTGAGTAAAGAGGATTGGAAGGGTCTGAAAAGCAGTTTCCGTGAAGTATTCTTCGCCTCACATAAGTCCTCAGCTGTACCTTCTCATGATAACTCACCCACCGACAACTTGGAGATGGGTGAGGTGAACGTACTGTCTTTTGGGGAAGACATCACTATGGAGATAGCGGATGAGGAGGTGAGCTCCTGTTTCCCTACTCATCTTAGAGCTTTGAAAGTTCTAGAAGATGTTCTGAAGGACGCCTCAAGAAAAAATAGTGCTTCAAATTATGACGAGGCATTACCCACTACCAAAGATTCTTCATTGCTGTCAGGTTCAGATCCCGTTCGTAGGTGGGGTAACATGAGGAAATATGACAGCGCCACCCTTCTTAGCAGCGTTAGCATATTGATGGATCAGTGTCCAGAGGTGGTGTTGCAGTTAAATAAGTGGCCTAGATTCATTCGTGTCCTTATTGCAGCGGCACAAGATAGCCCTAAGGAGGGTTTAAAGGTCACCCTGCATTACTTTCGCCTGACAGGAGCGCGGCAACGTGGAGCGCTTCTTTTGCAACTGCTTTCTGACATCTCACGAAATGTGCAGCGGCCTAAGGAGCAGCTGAAGGCATCCTCACGGTTGAATTTCTTTCTCTCTTGCATTCTGAGCTGCATCGAGGAGCTTCCTGAAAATTGGCTTGGACTGCTGGATGACGAGGTGGGAGAACTTTTTTCGTTGTTCCTAAACAACGCAGCGCTTCCTCACATGGAATATTTTTTTCACATGGACTCTGGTGCGCTTTGGGTGCGAAATTGGAGCCGTAGGCCCACGTTTGAACGTCTAGTGAGGCATCAGCTTCTGAGTCCTAGAGGCTGTCATGCGGCTCTAGCTCTGTTGCAGGGCTCATTCCCAAATCAGTACGCTCTTTCTTTAGTTGCTTACTTTTTACCAATATTGTTGCCTTCGTCGTATGGTGTCGACGGTAGAACACTTCGTACTACTGAGCATGAGAATTGTTTCGAAGATTTAAGCGCGTTGTTGAACGCATTTATCAGAAGCATCATTGAAGTACCATTTTCCCCAGCTTCTGTCCAGTTGCTCTATAAGTTCGCCGTTAGCTCTTGTGCGCACAGTCTGTCGCTGACTGAGCTTTGGGACTATATTCAATCGATTGTGTCGATTATTCAGTCACTGCTTTCTGACGATAAGGTGAATCGACGAGGGTCCACTGAAAATAGGGTATGTTGGCTTCTTTCACTCGTAGAGTGTTTTTTGCATTCTGTAGGAGACGTCAAACTATGCGCGGATGTAGCCCGCAAACACCTTGTCAGGTTGATAGGTGGAATGAAGAGAATAGACTCCCACACCGTCTCTGCTGCTGTGGGGTCTTTTTGGCACTCTGTTCTTGACAGGTACTGGAGGTATGTTGTAGACCATGTTCTTTCTGCACTTTCCATTAATCAAAATGTAGTATGTTTTCCTGTATTCACGATAGGTCACTTAGTTTCCATCTCACGCGACTTGGATGGATGGCTTCAGATCCGCGAATACTTCACGCAACATGCGGATGCTGTAAGCTGTGTGGATGGGGGTGTGCTCTTACGCCACATTCTTGGGTTATCTTCTGCTGAGGGAGAAGCAAAGCTGCCACTTCAATTAGACGCGAGCATATTTGCGCTTCTCTCACGATGGTCAACGCATTCTACTACTCAGCAGGAGCTCCTGAACGCGGCTAGGAGGTGTTGTGAAAACTACTTTGGATCTCCACGGAATGAGGACCCCTTAAGCTTTTTTTTTTTGCCACCAGGTGGCCTCGAGGTACCATCAGGTTTTCAATACAAGGGAAGTCCCCTAGAAAAGAGTATATGCAAGAGCTCCGAGTGTTTGCTGGCCTTTTTCCATTTGAGGGTGTTTTTGTTCTTGAATCTTATTTCCCTTGACTGGAAAAATACTACTCATGAACAATGCAGCGACACTACGGATCTCACACTACCTTTTTTCGTGGATACGTGTTTGAACGCATTCCTGGTTTCTTTTACGACTTCTAACAACACGGTGTACACGGACGACACACGCCTATACTTGCTTTGCCTGGTTTCGCTTGCATTGATATTTTCCTCCCAAAGTGAGGAGGCCTTGTGGCACGGTGGGTCTCCTGCTTTCCAAGGAATGTCCCAGTTATGCGATGTGTTCCAGCAGCGCACCGGTGTTGACCCGCTTTTTCTTGTAGGCCGATTCCTTGCTTTTGGCAAGGGTCGCAAACTCTTACTTTCTATCTTCTTATACGGCTTCAAAGCGGACCTATCAACAGACACTATGCATCATTTTCACTCTTTTGGGGACAGGGGGGCTTTGCCTAGTCAGTCGCGACACCTTCATCAGGTGGCAGTGGGTGCTGACTACGCGCGTTTAATTATTGAAAAAGCATTTCCCCAGGAGGCTAGCGGTATCTTGGAAAAAGGAACCTTAGTTGAGTTTATATCTTTGTGGGTGCAGGCCTGCGGTGCAGTGGATAAGATGCCTAGTCCCGATCACGTTGCTCTTTTACTCAGTAAGCGCAGTTTTACAGAGTGGCTTCGTTTTGTGGACAAACAGGAGCGCGCAGCCTGTGTCGCTCGAGCAGTGATGGCCTATGATAGTTGCAAGACATATCGTTTTTTGAAATCTGCGGGTGTAGATCTGCTCCATCTGTCAACCCTCTGCGTCACACATTGGATGGGTTCATCCCGGAGTATCAACAAATCAAAAAGTCGAAATCGTTTTAAATATTCTGTGAAATTATTTGTTGATAACGGAGTTCAGCACTGGGATGATTTTGTCGCAACCTGCCTCATCACACACATTGGCTCAGTGACGCAGGAGGGGACAGATCTAGCACAGAGGAAATGGGAGATTCCCTATAGTAGCTTGATACCACTACCCTCATTGTTTTTTGCTGAGTTGCTCATAAGACCCTTCACATCACCTCATTAAGCGGCCTTTGTCAGCATATAGAGCCATTGAAAAATGAAAGGGTCGTCAAGTGGGGTCACTGCATCCTCTCAGCGCTTTTTCGCCTGAATGAAGAGCGCGAACTCGGAATAAATGGTAGCACTGTTTCTTTTTTATTCTGATTTTTGGTGTTCTTCAATGTTTCGTGTTATTCTTAGGAGACTAGCAACACTATTACTATTTTTCACATTGCTTTTCTTCTATAGCATTAGTGTCTCGTATATATTCATTTACATAAGTGACGCTTACCTATTTAATAAATTACACTGTTAAAGCAATCGTCTGCTCACTGTTTTTTTCTTTTTTAAAAAGACTGTTGCTTCCTTTAATTACTTACGTTATAATATTTTCCTAAATAAGCGTTAACATGTCACTTAGCTTCGATCCCTCCAATGTAGCTGACCAGCTTCAACGCACCTTTTCAGGCTTTACCGATGACTTCGTTGTCGATGCAAAGGAAATCATCCTTAACACATGCAAGTTCTTTCCACTTCATGAAATTGGCGTCTCTTTCAATGGCGGAAAAGATTGTGTTGTAGTAGTCGAGCTCATTCGTGAAGTGCTTGGGCTAGAGGCACTGAAGCAAGTTATTTTTTTTTTCTTGGAAAATCCGGAGTCTGAATTTCTAGAAATGGAACAGTTTCGAAACAAGTACTTTAAAGAGCGTCTACCGGGGATTACACTACACAAAATAGACTCACGAGATGGCATGTTGCAGGGCCTCTGGCGTGTGAAACGGCAGTTTGGGATTAAGGCTTCCTTTATGGGAACTCGCAGGGACGATCTTTCTCAACCACCGTCGTTTCCATGGGAACCCAACACCGTCGAATGGCCGACCATGCTGCGTGTATACCCCATTTTACACTGGTCATATCGCAATGTTTGGAATTATATACTTTCAGCGAATGTGCCCTTTTGCGTACTTTATTCTTACGGTTATACATCCCTTGGCGACTGCCGTTCCACATACAAGAATTCGAAGTTGTTAATAAGTGGAGGAGAGTACGCACCGGCGTGGATGTTGCAGACAAGCGAACATGAACGCGAGGGGAGGGAGGAAAGTAGAGGGAGAATAAAACGCGTATAGATTCGCCCACTTATTCTTTTAGTTGCTCCATAGTTAAAACCTGCACTTTATTCCTCACAATGCGTATATGTACAAATATATATATATATATATATATGTGTAGTTCGTGCATTTCCACCGTAATACCATGTCTGCATCCAAAATTTGTCTACATAGGCATTCATATGAATTCAGACACACGATTAATGCTTGCCCTAAATGGGAGCATATAACATCACCTTGTTTTTTATATTGACAGGGCGTAAACATTTCCCTTTTGCTATTCAATCTTGCTCAAAGAATATGTATCGGTCAAGTGTTCGCACATACAACCCTGCAGTTTTACAAATACATGAATAAAAGGCACATTTTGTCATCAAAACAGACATAGAAAGGATAAGTTCATTTTTTCTGCCCGGTAATCACCTGCTCAAGATGAGCGGTCTACCTTTTAATGCCATGCAAAAGAAGGTGCCACCGCCTACACATATCGATACTGCCATTATTGACCCCGTAGAATTCGCGTTCGTATCGGCGGGCGACAATTATGTGTTCATAGCCCACCAAGAATGCCTGCAAATGTCTCCATTCCTTAGGAGAGCCTTGACTAAAAAGGCTCCGTTACACACCGACAATGTTTGGATCGATTTCGATGCGTTAAACTATGAATCAAATGATTTGTCACCTCCGAATGTCCCTGGTGTTAAGGGTCAAACAGTCCCTAAGGGAGATCGTGCGACAAGTGAAGTTAGGATAAGGATAAGTTTCCCAAAAGCTACTCCCTTGGCTGTTGATATACTTCTCTCTTATCTCTACTACAAACGTAAATACGAGGGCAATGTGAATACTAAGCGACCTGAGTTAGGGGTTCCCGCCAGTTGCGCTTTGGAACTTCTGAAACTTTCTAATGTTCTGGAGTGCTAGTTGTTGAATCGACTCTTTTCCCCGTTGTGGCTCGTGTCGTGGTGATAGAAATTACCCAAACATTGAGTTCAGGCTATATCCACAAGTATGTAAGCGATAGAACGCCCCTAACACGATGTACTTGGATTGAGGATCCTTCTGTTCTTAAAGGTGTATGCTAGGATGCAAATACGCCATGTATGATATTGTATTTCGTAGGAGCCTGGTAAAAAAAAAAGTGCGTTCCACTGTGTATTGACTATCGATGTTGTTCGAAGTTCTCCGGTAACCTGTAAAGCCTACCTGGGACTTATCTGTAGGGTGTTGCCTTTACTTTTAATTTTTTTTTGTTTCTTTGCATTTCCTGTCTTGATATCCAAGGTATGCGTCAAGTTGAACAGAAAGGTACCTGCTATTGATAGATTGTAGCTTTCAAACGAAGCGAAAAAGTCTAATATCCTCCAAAAAGTAAGCAACTAACAACGTTGCCGATAAAAAAAACAATATAAATAGGTATCAGATATTTATTTTAGGACTTTGGAAAGACCGTAAAGCTTGGCATAGTAGAGCATACAACTAAAAGTCTTTCGCAGGCTTACTGCACCCGAGTGCACGCAATATGACGGAGCATACTGAGAATGGTCCTTCAGAGTATGCTTTTTGCGAACCCGAACGGGCCCAGCCTATTGAGCTCACAGAGCATAAGTCATCTACAGATGTAGGTCCTACCATGATTCCTACTGACGGTCCTTCTGAGCCAACCAATGCGTTGGGCCCGAAGAAAGAGTGTTGTAATTGCAGCTCCGTACTGGTCAAGTATACGTGCCCTGAGTGTGATCGGCATACATGTTCGCTGCATTGCGTCAATGAACACAAACACCATTACAACTGCACTGGCATACTTTCCGTCACCAAGCATGTTGACTTGAGCGAATATACTGGTCTCCAGATCCAGCGAGATTACCATTTTCTGGAGGACTGCAGGCGGATTATTGACAATGCTGAGCGCTCCTTTATCATGCCTGATGCACCTCAATATAAATTTCACGCACTTCCTCCAAGTCTACGCACGTTGCGCGAGGAAGCAGGCAAAAGAGGTGTGATTTGCCAAATCATGTCTGAAGGGATGCGAAAGCGTGATGAGAATACCAGTCGTTACGATCGATGCAACAACACCATCATATGGAAGTGTGGGTTTGTTTTTCGGCCGAGACGTGCGGACGAAACTAATAAGGCGTCTACGCGCCAAGGAGAGTTATTCACAGTCTCAACAGACTGGGCGAGCGAGCGGCATAAATTGGGGGATGTGCTGCAATACTGTTGGGCCATTAATCCTCCGCTTCCGTGTTTCCATATTAATCGGAAATACAACAAAGTCTCCAAGTATGTCGGCCGCAGCACTGCTGGGAAGGACGTGGATCTCAATGGCAAGTCTCAAACATGTGACGCGGACGCCTCTCCGCAATTGGAGTCATCAACATCGGTCCACGTGTGTGATACGGAGCAAGGTGCAGGCCGCCTTGCTCCCTCCACAGTCACGGAGCCGCCGCCACACGAGGAGACACAGCAGGATTCCTTCGCGAATGCCGCTGAAGCCTCTGATAGTGCCTCTGAGAAGCCTGTCCTGGTGAAGTCACCGGTGCCATTTGGTCCTCTAGATTCAACTTGCTTGTTTGAACAGCATCCTGGTAGCCGTGCAAAGGTGGAGGGATTTTTGTCCGCTGGCAGATGGGCTATTCTAGCAAAAGCGGAGCGTCTTGGAAGCCAGGAGAAATATTTTCGCTTGAACCCCAGTGACACTCTCAACGAGGCGCTACGGGTGCTCTTTTTTATAAATGAATACCCGGTGTTTACTGTTGTTTATGAGGCTGATTTGCCGCACTACCCGCTCGTGACCAGTGAGGACAAGGAGGCTATTCGAGAAAGCTTTCGCGTAGATGGCAAAAGGAAGCCTCCTACAGGGGATTGCGGGGAAAGTATGTCAAGTGGGAACTTGCGGAAGCTGAGTCAAGCACGGGACAGGCAATGTTGGGGGCAGGGCCCACCACATTTCAGAGGGAGCGAAAGGCCTCGCAAAGATTCTGGATTTAGTCAGAGGGATTCTCATGGGCATGTTGGACGAAATCCCAAAAGGCCTCGTGACGATAACGTCAGGTCCAGATCAGCAAGACTTTTTTACCAGAGGAAGACCAGTTAAGGCTAAGACTTTCCATGGGGTTCTCCACCACCATTCATCGGTGGGTAGAGAAATGTTGAGAAGATGTGAAAGGTTGAATTCAAAAAGATACTTTTAAGCACTGGAACACGCTCATATTCATTGCTAAATTCTAATCAAACTTGCACACCTATAATGGTGGAGCTGTGAACGCGAGGAGCGCGGCTGAGGAGGCTGACTATGATACAAAACTCGCTTTAAAAACGATCTTCGCAAGAGAACTAAACATTAATTCTCTGCTTAATATCTCTGTACAGGATTCGTTCCTCGGAGTCATTTTTGTTCTCTTACACTATCGAAAATCATTGCGTTTTTCTATATACTCCTTCCTCTGGAAATAAGAAAGTGAACATAAATTGAAGGTTGAGCACCTTAGGGCAGACTGCTTGAATCAAGTAGGGGGCGAAATCTCCATAGTATTCCTATCGTTACGTGTATGAGTATATATATATATATATATATATATATTTACATTTTAACTTAATTTAGTATGGTTGATTCCCCTTCACGCGATCCTGTGAGATCTGATAATGTTAGTAGAAGCAGTGGAAGCGATGAAGACGTTGCGATAGTGCAAGACCCTGACACATACTTTTATAATCTACAGGAGAAACACCACGACTCTCAATGGGTGCGCGGATTGTCACCGGAGGACGAAGATACCACCACTAATCACGAAAGTGCTGAATTATTTGATACCTCCAGAAATACTCAAAAGGCATCGTTTGATTCAGATTTTGCAGTTGAGGAGATGTTTAAATACCCAATTGTGCTCGGAGTTATCTCTATTTTAAATATCATGGCTCAGTGTGTCACTAATATGGATCGCTATCTTACAATGGACTTTCCTGCAACGGAGGAGGTGCTCTGGCCACACGGCTGGCAAATTGACGAGAGCCTTTTGAGCTTTTCACACAGGATCCTAGTTCCACTTCTTTTGTCCGTTGTACCACCAGCTAGCTTCTGTGTGTGGCTTTCATTTACTATTGGACGTGTCACGTATGACTTCACGGCTCTCTGTGGTGTGGGTACGGCTCTGCTTTCCTTTTTGGGGTTACTGATGCAGTCCATAATGCTTATAAGGGCTTGCGGCGATTCAGTTCGTGATTTTGAGGGGTGCGAAATTCCCTTTGTCATGTATTGGGTATGCAGCGTTGCGCGGCGATGGTGCCCACTGATGTCGCTTTGGTGTGTAACGCCTGCGCTAGATAGAGTCAGTTGCAGACGGCGGTGGAAATACCTGATGGCGATCCCTCTTCTCGCCTTCATGCTAGCTGTCCTAGCTTCAGTTCACAAAGGTGCCCGGGCATCGAGTTTATTTGCAGTAGCGTATGGACTACACATTCTAATTTGGAGTTTCTTTCTTATTTACCTTCGTGGACATAGATGTATTGGTGGTAAATGTGGGAAGTCCCACACTGACTGATGTTTCTATCTGTATTCATCCCTTCAGTGGCACTGCACACCATGTCCTACCGAGCGAATAAGTGGAAAAATTCGTAATAGACTAAAATCCACGAGCATTTTGTTTATTAACAGCATCTTACAATCCTGTCTGCTACTTCATTGTCGTGAGACGTCATTTACCATGAGGTTCATTGCAAACTTACCATGTGCTCTTCTCTTTTTACAATCCGTTACTAGGCTTGGAATGAAGGTGTTACAGGTGCGGCTTTATCAACGAAACATACATAGAAAAAATAAAGGCTGGACGAGAGACGGCTCATGACCCAGTCACTCATCGCCCCAGCGACTGCCACGGCATCTTTTCTAGAATGTGGACCAGTTGCTTTGTGGCGCCGGTACTCCTCCTCTGGCATCTCACCCACACCTCGCGTTGTGCGTTTTGTTTTGGACTACATCATGGGAGCGTTTTTGGTTGCTGGGGCAGCAGAGGTATTGGTGCCAGCGGGCATGGTCCACTGGATGGAGCGCAATACCGCTGGTGAACCACGAGGTGCGTGGGAGATGCTGGCGCGGGACCACCGCCTGGTTGTGTTAGCTACCTGCGGCGAAATAGGTGACATCCTCGACTGCTACTCTTCCTACCACACTTTTTGTATTCCAGTCCCTGGCGGTCCACTCTCCTCGAAGCTTTTATTCCGACGCGCCATTGATGTCTACTACGGTGATTCTGTCAAGAAAATGATGGATATGTTCAGAAGCACGGGAGCCTCGTCCTGTGTGAGCTGGCGTGCGTGGATGCGCTCTGGATTAACCTGTCCGTTTGAAGGCCACTACGTTCCACCTATACGCGTCTCCGAGTATGCGGCCTCTTTGTTAAGTGCGGAAGGTGGTTGCACGCAGATTATTTTAGAGGAAGGAAGCGCTGGCCTCACACCACGTTGGCTTGAGACCTCGCTAAAGACAGCGTTGTCGTGTGGTATTCCGACATCTTGCATGTCACTCGCCTTGTGTGATGCAGCGCACACGCCCAAGCTAGTCGGTAAGGCTCTTGAGGTGGGGGTTCAGCACCTCTGTACGTCCTCGCTAGGCCGGGAGTTCGCGTTGTTCGAGAAAAGCGATCCCCTGGTGCCAATCGACGCCATCTCACTTCTGGTATCACATATTGCCGAGCTTAATCAGGCCAGTCTTTCGGACGCCGAGTTGGACCAATTACATGACAGCGCGGCTTTTGTCGAATCAGTCCGAAAGCAGTGGCTCAAGGAGACGGAAATGTGCATTGGGTGAGTAGCGGCTGGTAACTAAGTGGTGATCGCCACCATGTACTAAAAGTTTGTTCTACCGTGAAGGGCGTCCGCTCTCGGATCCATTGCGCAGCATAAAAGCAAATGCTTTCTGTTTGAGCTTCTTTCTTGTGTTGGGTCAAGATGCAGGGGCCTCTAACTAATGAGAGGGGATGCCTTTGGAAAATTTCTTATTCATAATTGTAATTCCATGATTGCTCACTTGCCCACAGTATTTTTTTTCCGTCTCTTGGACACTCTTCTTTCCCATTTTACTTTCTTTCTTTCTATTTAATGGGACCTACAATTTCATTTCGAAAGTGAAAATTATTGCGCATACAAAACGTTTAGTTTTGATGTGCTTGATCTTGAACTAAACTCAAGCAGATTTCTAATCATTTATTCCACCATTTCACGCTATTAACTGTATTTGTAATTCCCACTTGTTTGAAATCCATCCTTAACTTTCCAGTGCTCAATGGCCTTCCTCACCCTTCATTTTGTTTTCACAAGTATTCCGTGCGGTTGGCTAAAAATGTAGCCTCCGTTGCAGACTTTGTTTGCGTTTCTTAAGTGCAACATCCATCCCTTTATTAAAATAAACATACTTTTTCTTCACACCCTATTTTACTTATTATGGCATCTCAACTGTCATCCACGCGGGTGGCGACGCAGTCAGTATTAACGTGTCCGCTGATAAGAGGCTTAGATGGAACCTTTTCAAGTGCTCCAGGGCTCATGCGAGTTATAGGCATCCCTAAAATGAAGAATTGCTAAACTCACAACGATAGGAACTTAATTATACAAGGGTGTTTTCCCATTCTTTAAAGATTTGCCATATATTCACAAATACTGGTTAATTCAATTAAGAACTGATAATGCCTATTCCTGTCAAGGTCATTTAGATCGCATAATCGATCACACGGTTAGAAAATCTTCGAATGGTTGTCGTGTTCTTCTCTCAGATGTGGTTACACAGAGTATTTTTGTTGCCGTCATACTAGTTGATAGTATCCGTACTAACCGTTGGTAAGCATTACGGCGGTATGCGACTTGAAAATGAGTGATAGAAAAAATTTCCAACCTAGCCTTATTCTCCATTGTTATTGTCTCTCGAGCATACACTGTCATTGCGATAAAACACGTAAAACGTGTATTGTTTCTTTAGATCCCCTCAATGGATTATGTTTTCCGGCAAGGGTGAGATTATTGGTGGATACACCTGAAAAGAAAAACTACACATGCTTGCGTTCCTTCACACCTGTCTTGACCAAATATTTGTTTAAAGGAGGAAGTGCTTCCTGCAAATATGTATGAACACAGTCTGGATTCCTGTTATTTTTTCTTATAAACATACACACAGGAAAGAGAGAGGAAGGAGAAACGGAAAAATTATATCTTCAGCCAACACTTAGTTAATGATTCGAAAGCTGCTTCAACGTCTCAGTACACCTATTGTAGCGTCTTCGCTCTCCAAAGAGCAACTGTGTGTATCGCTTGCAGCTGTAGCTCAACTTGAACCGTTTCGTTTGTTTCCTTGTACTGTATCGCATCCTTCTTCGGCTAATGCATTAAACTTTAATGAGGCGGATGCGGCTGCGTTGGTGGCTCGGTCTATACGTCTTATCCCACAGTGCACTTTTATGGAGCTCGGCATGATCAGTGGTGGGGCATCTGCGTTACGATGGCGCTCTCCTCCGCTTGTTGAGCAATTATCCAAGCAGATTCATCAAGGCTGCCAGAATATTCATCAATTTCGAGCGCGACTTCGCCTTACAGATCTTACCCGCGTCGTCGCCGCCGCCATTCGCGCTGATCAATACTTCAACGTAACCCTCTACACTTTCATTCGTCACCATACTAAATCTGTGCTTCGATCAAAAGAGCGCCCAGAAACCCTTCTTCACTACGCTTTTTTAGCTAATATTTATCTTGGGGGTCGCAATGATGCGATGGATAACATACTCGTCCAACTGCAGGACGCATGCCTTAGTGAGAGTCACCGGCAAAACTTCCTACAAAAGTATGAGTGCTTCGTGCAGGCAGTTTGCGGGGGCTGGCTTGCGCACAGGCAGCTACTGTCAGACGAGTTTCAGTCAAATTGTGGAGACTTCCGTAAGGATAGTGAGTGTGTATGGGACGCGACAAAGGTACGCGCGCATGCGTACTTTCTCCTCCACGACAAAGTGCAGGCTACCGGATGTGTAATGACTAACAAAGATATTACACTCAAGGATGCAATAGAATGTTTGGAGCTATTGAATTTTTATAAAATCGACGATCCAGTCGCTCATGCGGCACTTGAGGAGGTGGTCCTACACGTCGTACAGCAGATGGATGCAATAGACATGGAAGATATGCACAAAGTCAGTCGTGTGGTGTACGCTGATGCGCGGCGTTTTCCTCGCTTAGTTGATGCATTGAACAAAAAACATGAACCCAGCAACAGCTTAGAGAAAATTCCCCAAGCGTTGCAAGCTTACACGGAGACAGTCAGTGGAAGGCGTGTTTCGAGCATCATTTTGCACCATCTCACAGAGGAACTAGGGGACAGTCAGCCAGATGATGTTGCGTATGCTGCGTGTGTGCTAGCACGCCAAAGCGAAGTTCCACATGTTATCATGATACGATCCCCGTCAGTTGCCCGATGCCTCAGCTTAAGGGGGCTCACTGCCTTTCTGAGAGCTGCGAAGTGGGATCGAACGGGCGCGCTGCTAGCCGCCGCTGAGATGGCCATGCGCAGCCTGGACCTTTCTGTGTTTAATAGTGCGTCGCTCTCTTTGCTATCGGATTTGTCAGGTGCAGTGGCGTTACCACTGCCACGTCATGTCGATTTGCCTCAAGCTTTTAAGACCGCAGAGATGACATTGAAGCGTAATTTGCTGGAAAGAATTGCTGCCATGTGCAGCTCACCTTTGCAGCCACTTGCGGAGATATTTGCGGCAGCCACTCAAACACTAGAATTTGACACGGATAAAGTGCTTGTACACTTGGCACTCGATCGGGCCGCGGCGGCCAAGGAGCTGTCGAAGGCTGAATGGCTTGCTGTCATGCAGCTGTTGAAGCTTGACAACCAGGTGAGCAGCTTAGAGCTTATGGATAAGCTGGCCAATCGGTTTAAGGAACTGTTGGACCTGTACTTTCAATATCATGCACGCAGCAACACGGAAGCGCACGAAAACTTACTAGAGATTGCCGCGTTTCAGGCGGAATATAATGCGCCTGAGCTGGAGGGATTGGGGAATCAGTTGCTCCATCGCGTGGAAAGCGAGCTCAGCTCATGCACGCCCGAGTGCCTGATCGCTGCTGGGCTGCTTTCTAGACAAGCTCGCAATTTTGGGGCGGATTCTAAGATACAGGCTGCCCTTGTGCCGCACGTGGTCGGCGGGAGGCTGCATCTCCCAGTTGCTACGCATGCCATTGGACTTGTCTCACCGGTAGTGGAGTCAACTAACATAAACTTGACAGCAGCATTGGTGAGCTTTTTTGTGGAAGTTTCTCGAAGCACCGGTTGTGTTTCTTTTGTTGATCCCTCGCCTATAGCTCGCCTCCTAGTAGCATATTGTGCGCTCTATGAGCGGCTAGTTGCGGGGGATCACTTCGTCGCCTTTCCCGAGGTTTTACTGCGATTCATTGCGGATCACCTTTTGGCACTGAAGCTGGAGGTGTACGTAGATCTTTGCCGCTTTATTTCTTTTGGTCGTCTGGCGGAAGGATTCACCGACGAGGTTGTGGAGATGCTACCACGCCAACTAGACCGACTTAATTCCACACAGATCGCGCACTGTGTGGGGGGACTGGGGCAACTCCATCACGCTGGCCAAAGACTGAGCCATCAAATTGTAATGGAGGTGGTCTCCGATTATGTGGTCGACAATGCGGATCTTTTCTGGAGCGGCCCCGACATTGCACACATGTTGGACGGCTTCGCGCGTCTGCATTGTACGAAGCGTAGTTTGTATAATGTCTTCGCAGACAAACTATCTATGCGCGCAGTAAGGGCAACCATGAACCGTGAGGCCATAACCCTAACTCTACATGCTTTTGGGATGGTCAAGTACCTTCACAAATCCCTGTTTGATCGTCTCACACAGGTTTGCATTCAAAACGCACAGAACCTTTCCGCCAGGGACATATTTTTTTCTGTCCTGGCACATAGCCGTGTGATGTTGTTAAACAATAGCTTTTATGAGCAAATGAGTCAACAGATCGTCGCTCACGCAGACGAGTTCTCTATCAGCGCCAAGTGTGAATTAATCAAGGCATACGGGCATACTGGAAAGCAATATGGAAAAATGACCCAAATTCTTCTGCAAGATATCATACGTGAAATCCAAAGCCTTAAGGACGTAAATGACCTAGTGGATGTTCTCAATTCATTATGGCAAGTGAATTACAGCATGAAACAAGATGAGAACAGGGAGATTCTGGCTTCGTTCGTTGCCGATCATGCGGGAGAACTAACTAATAGTAGTATAATAAAGCTTTGTTCGGTGTTAATGGGGTGTGGTTGGCGACATGAGCCGTTATTACAGTGTATAGGGGACCAATGTGTGTCCTTAGCAAAACAGCAGCAACTGACAGCGCCAGCTGGACGGGCAGTCTTGGATGCATTGGGGTTCCTTATGGTATCCCACCCGGTAGCGCGTCAGGAACTTGCCCAGCTCGCGCGGAGTGTGAGCAAGGAAGTTTTGCAGCTTTCCGAGGAAGAAGCGGAGCAGCTTAAGCTCCTGTTATCGGTGTGAGGGTTGTATTTGCATATATATATATATATATATTTATTTATTTACTTATTTGGAGTGCACTAGTTTCTTGCACATGGGCTAATGCATTCTGCTTTTTCCCTACTGACATAATGCCATAAACCAAGATGTTTCTGTGTTGATTTCTCTTTCCTGTCCGTTTCTAGGTTACTGTGATGCGCGTTTGATTTCAGTCGGGGCGCCGCGCGCATTGGAGATTGTGCTTGATGAGAAGCCTCTTTCCAGAGTAGTTAGTCAAACCCCACTTCGACTTCCGATGTCTCCTGGCAAATCATCCAACGCCACGGCCGTCCGCCCCCCTCCCCGGTGTGGCGGATCAGGTGCTGTGCCACGGAGGCCCCCGCCAGGGTGCAGGCGACCGGGCCGGGGTCGCGCTCCCTCAGCTTGAACACCTCCTCAATGTCCTCGGCGCCCAGCTTGCGAAGCCGCAGCTGTTCAACCACATTCATGGCGCTGGTGAGCAGCTGGGCGTAGGTTAAGGAGGGCCTCCCGAGGTGAAGAGCGAGGAGCATTTTCTGATACACGGTGGGCTTGTTGTGAATGCAAATGGGGTCTTCAACAAGCTGCCTCCATTGTTGCTCCATCGTTGTCATTTGATCACGATATAAAAAGAGTGTCAATATGCAGGAATCGCACTGAACACTGAGTGCTACAACGTCACTGGAGCCACCACATTGCACGACGACTGAACTCAGCTCCACAATATCGTGCACCAGCGCGATGCTGATGCCATGCGCCCCGGGAAAGCTTCCTCCTGCACCATCTTTACTAAAATTGCGCAGACTAACTCGCACGTATGGGTTGAGCAATTTCAGAGCCTCAACCCCCGCCTCCTCGCAAGTCATGGACGCGGTGCCTCTTTGCACGAGCATGTTGTTACGCAAATCCGTCGCTCGGATTTTTTGCGTGGTGCTGTGCACCTGTAAGGATTTGATGCCCGCCAGGACGAGATTCTTCGCTATTTCAGCGTCCACACCCTGCAGATCCCAGAGCCGCACCTCAGCCTCCATCAACCGCTGCTGAGTGGTTTTTCCCCACAAGCGGATTTGACGATCATAGCGGATGTACTCCGCTTTTAGGCTCATTTTCTTAATATATACACCCCAAGGGGACTAGGATAGGAATGAAAATTCCAGGCTGGACTTTACTTATAAACCTTGAGGAAAAAGTTTAGAAACCAGAGACACGCTTGGGCAAACTCCATATCGGTGCTTCATCAGCGTCTTCCAGTGGTGCTTTATAGCTAATACAAGTCCGCACGACGGCACCGCACCGTAGACGATGCTGGAGAACCGCTACAGCTCAAACAGCTAGCCCGGGAATGAGGTCCTACCCCCACCGTAGCCGCGGTGCCCGACATTCTAAATTCAGAGGCGAAGGTTTTTGGCTTAATCACGACAACTGTAAGATATAGAGTAAATGATTCAAATAACTTACAATGGAAGGTTGAAAACCGGCAAGCATCGCATTACAAGGGGAGGAAAAAGTTTAAAAAGAGAGTAAGTTGATTATAACGGTAAATTAATTCCCACCCCATACCATGTTTTCGCGGGAGGTAAACTAAGGTAACTTGGAGAGAAACGTACATAACAAACCAAATAACGACAATCCAGGAAGCACATACATGACGCAAGCTGGTTCCCTCCCCCCTCCTAAAAAGATACAAACCGAAATGCCGAGGCATAAAAAGTGAGAAAAGTAAAGGAATTGGAACGCTAGAGTGAGTTTTGATACAATTAAGTACATCGATGGGATCAATCGGGATAAGATGGGAAACAAAGCAAAAGAGCTTTTTTTTTTGACTTACATGTCTTGCTGTGTGATGCAGATTGCATTCACTGACACCAAAGCGGTCACTGCCACACGCCCGTATAACTCGCCACATAATTGGAGGGAGGTCTGCGAAGTCCCTTCGACTTCACGCAACAACATTGACCACGTGGTTAGGCTAGGTGCCCGAGAGGTGTCGTAGTCCCTGGCATTCTTCTTCAATAATTTCAACCAGCCTATCACAGAGCAACAGGTTTTCCACGACAAAAAAATGTCCAGGGGCCATCGATCAAAGTAGCTGTATTCTGTGGGATGCAGACGCACAACGAATGTAGCGAGCTGAAGCGTACTGCCGTTCGGCGAAGGGGTGCGCATCTTCACCGTTGAGTTCTTTTGCTTCGAACAGTGCGTAGCTCTGCTTAGTGGCGTGCCTCTATGCATCCTATTTTAATGCATTTTTAATGCAGTTTCTCATCCAATGGAACCAGGCAGACCAATGCTCTGAAATATGTTGTCAATATACGGTGTGAAGGAGCCGTACTGAACCACCCCTGCTGACCCAGCACGCATGTCGACGAAGAAAAAGACTCTCGACGCCAGAATAGTTTTAAAGCTAATTCGCGTGACCTATTTAACATTATTTTGTTCCTCCTTGTAAGCCACATATCCTAAATCAAATGCAACGATGGGGCCGAAAGGTTTGGAAAGAGGGACCTGCAATCATAGAACCATCACAAAAAGCCGACCAGAACACACGGGGCTCGCAGAATGTCTTAGCCTATCGTAGAGTTTCACCTTGAGGAATTCATTGCGATCCAAGATTAAATCAATTAGTCGACTTTGATATTCTGACAATAGAAGCAACAAAAATAATAGAAATGATGGGCCATTGAACACACAGCCCATAGGTATGCTCTGTTCCGGCGAAAGAGATAAAAACGATTGCCTCTCATATTATTACTATTATTGGTATTACTACTACCATAAGCATTAGAAATCAATGGTTATAAATTTCCTAGCATTTTCTTGCTTTTTCTATTAAGGGTTATAATTGTATAAATGAACAGATAAAATATAGAGTTATTTGTTTCATTATTTTGGATTCTCGATTTTGGTTGTGATTTTTATCCCGATTTCAGGCGCGCGCTTCAGAAGCTCTTCCCCGAAAGCGAAGGCAGGAGTGAGCACTCCTCCCTTTATTTTGTTATTCTTAGCCAGATTGCAGGTGCAGAGGGCACACTCAGACAGAAGTACACCCGATATGTCGTACATATCGAAGTCGGATGCGAGCTCGGTCACGACTTGTTTTCCAGACTCGGTGATCCCCACAAAGGTGCATTTGAATTCCGACGCCTTCTTAGTTTCGTCATCAGGCCCATGCGCCACGTCCTTGGGGAAGCTCTTTATGATACGCTCCCGAGTGAACGGAATGGCCAGAGAGAGTTTGAATATGCCACTCTTAATACGCGCGGAGAGGAGACCGAAGAAGCTCCCCGCCATCGACTCAAGATAACTGGAGGTAGATCCTGAAAGGGCGTTGCTCCGCCGCACAATGCGCTCGTTGGAAGGCGCCATAAAGAACGGCCCCGTCCATTTTCCCACCGTTGAGTTGTATGACATTCCGCGACAGGTTTGCGCCGCGATGGGCTGCACTGCGCCTTCGGGTATCAAACTGCAGGGCGATAAGTCCTCTTGTTTCATGTAGGCACCCAGTTCTAGCATGGTATGCAAGGTTCCAGACGAGAGCCCTGCGGATTTCACTTCGTAGACTGCTTCGACTTTCGTCAAGGGTTCTTTGGCTTCCTGGTGAACGACATAGTTCCCGAGGTCCGAAGGGACGCTGTCAAAGGCACAGGAGCAAACCAGCGCGATCCCCTTTTCCTTCGCCTCCTTGTGGAAGCGCTCCGACACAAGGCGCACAAAGGGGTACTCGCCTGTAGAGTCGATGTAGTGTGTTCGCTGACGCATGCACGCCTCCACGACGGGCATGCCCACTCGGATGAAAGGACCAGCGCATGATATGATGCAGATGGCCCTTTGGCACATTGCGTCGATTGTTTCGGGCTTGCTGAGGTCCACAACGAATATCGGCAGCTGATCCTTCTTCAGTTCCCTCGCGAGATCATCCAACTTTTCCTTGCTGCGCCCCGCAATCCCCCAAATACATGTGCCGGGCTTCAGCTGGTTCAGGTACTTGCAGGTCAGTTTGCCAGTGTAGCCTGTGGCCCCGAACACAATAATATCCAGCTTATCGGACATAAGGAACGAATATAATATATTTTTTAAATAAACTTGACTTTATTTAGCGTGGTGAATTAAGTAAAACGAAATGCGTGCTAACGGAAGAAAAAGCAAAGCGTATAGGTAGAGAAATCATATATTGTGCGCTGCGAATCGGTGGAGTGGTTAGTTCCAACCAGGAGTCGACACAGAGCGAGACAGGTCACGCCTCACCGATTTGTATATGTGAGGGCACTGAAGGATGTTTAGGGTTCTATATGATTAATAACGGTATTCTCCAGCGTCATCGGCTGGCGTATGGGTAGCAGAAGGCTTCTAAATCGACAAATGCTCCATAAATGGAACTACTCAATGCCGCTGCGCCCATGAAGAAAGAACAGAAAACAAGGAAAAATGAATCAGTATCTAAATCTGGGTTTCTAAGAAAAGAGTAAAATAAATAAGTAAAATAAAGACAAATCAGTGACTAGCGCCCATACTGCTTGTTAATGGAAGTCCTGAGGAATTCCAGGGCGTTTTTATTGGCTTCTAGTTTGGAAAGTGCTGCCATCAGCAGCTGACGATTGGCTTCGATCTCTTCTTCGCCGCGATCCCTTTCCAACTTGTCCATCGCTAGGCGGCGCTCGTGGGCCTGTGCATTCCTGCTTTGTTTGGATGCGTAGGCTTCCTTCCTCTCCTTCGCCTCGGCCAGCATGGTTTCGACCTGGGTGAGGCGCTTCGCGGCATTCTGTGCGGATTTCTCTGCGCATTTGAGTTCATCCTGTAGTTTAGCACGCTTCCCATTGACGATATCGATAACTTGCATTGCGGAGTCGATGCTTTCCCTGGAAAGGGACGATCTGACGATGGTGGGGTTGCCCAGCGCACGCAGCATCAACTCAAGCTTCATATTGGACGCGTATCCGGCGTCAATGCTGGAGAGGCCCGTCAAGATTGCATTCTCATCCCCGTCGGCCACGGGATCGGGAAGCAGCTCCTGTTCGTCATACAGCCGCGCATCTTCGCATTGGCACGACTGGATTACGTATAGTTTTTCCTGGATTTGTCTCTCGGCTTCCAAAACAAGCTCCAATTGCTCTTGACGCTCCGAAACATACATGCTTTCGTAGTCATTTTCTATCTCTTGCACCAAACTGAGCCTGGCCTCTTTTTCCGCTGCCACCACACCCGCCCGCTGCGTTGCAAACAGCGGCTCCAATTCTTGATTGTATTGCTGCTGCGCCACGACGATGCAGGCGCATAGCTCCTGGCGGTGCTCCACCTCACGTCGGCAGATATCCGCGCGTGCATGAGACTCTGCGTGTAGTAGTTCTAACCGGTGGCGCTGTTTATATTCAGTCCAAATCCGCCTATGATTCTGCTGCGCTACAGAAAGCAGCCTCTGCCATTCACTTTCTTCTGCCTTGCAAATCATTTCTCTATATGCCAGACATCCCTGTTCTAGATTTGTGCGCTGTGCGTTTCTTTCTTGCAGACGTGCTGCATGCGCCTCCATTTCTGTCGAATAATGCCATGTCAGCAGACCAAAGTCTACCGATTCCTGCTGAAGAAGGAGACGTCGCTCATTTGCCTCTTCGTGAATTTTCTTTTGAAGCACCTGCATCTGGAAATGTACCCAACGGTGAATTGACTCTTCCTCGCTAGCCATCAGGAACATCAAGTGAAGTCGCCGCTCGTGTTCTTGTTTCGCTATTTCAACTTTTTCCGCCTCCACTTCTGCCCACATCTCCTGCTGGCGGCGCTGTATTAGAGTAACCCATTCTAATATGTTCATTTCACCCTTTTCGAAGTCTCTCATAAGATTTTGTCTTGCCCTATCTTCTTCAATTAGGATGAATTCTCTTGCAGCAGTGGAGCGTTGGATAAAGGTGGCTTGGGAGCGCTCTTTTTCTTCAATCCAGAGAAGCCGTTTCTCGTGTTCACGAGCTTTACGCTCTAGAAGGCTCGCGAATGCGCCTAACTCTTCTTGGGCGATGGCGCTTAGGACTGTCAACGCGTTCTGCAACGCGCGTTCGCGCTCTTCCTGCATGTGATGGGCGGCTTCCTCCACTTCCCATTTGGCTCTCGAGCACTCAACATGGAGCTGTTGAAGCCAGCTTTCCATCTCTTCGACAATACTTTGGCGAACCGACAGCTCCATCTTCTCGAGCCCGCTTCGTTGCCATAAAAAGAGCCGCGTGCGTTCTTCGACACAGTGGCCCTCTTCCATCATTTCTTCCCGGATGTGGTGCCTTGCATCTCTCTCCTCTTCCGAGATATCACGGAGTGTCTTAACAGCAGATTCCAGCATAGCTGTGCGTTGTGCGAGAGAATCAATAATGCACCGCCTGCAGGTCAATGCTGTGTCGAGGATCATCTCCAGCTCCGTTGCGCACTCCTTCTCCAAACCTTCACGAGATTGGCAGAAGGCCATCCAAAGCTGTCGTACCGCGAGTTCGCCGCTTCGAAAGCCTCTCATAAAATCGAGGTGCGCCGCGAAAAGTCCATTCCGCTCACCACTCTCGCTGAAAAGGATTGTTTGCCGTGAGCATGCCTCACGAGAATTAAGATACGATATCTTCTCGCTTTTATAAGCCTGTGATACGAGTCCCACCCGTTCCATCCGCTCCAACGTACTGATGTACTGCCGTCGCTCACGCTCGTGATGGGTCATAGCGGCCAGGGTGGCTTGCTTGTCGAGTCGGTTCAAATACCCAGCCCGTTCTCGTTTCTCTCTAAGGATAATAGTTTGACGATTACCACTCTCTAACTCATTCAAGACAATTATCTGTCGCGCCGTCCGTTCTGCCTGCTGAAGACGGGAATACCCGACCTCAAAAAGTTTGACGAGCCTCTGGCGTCGGCGGGATTCGTCGTGACGGAGTGTGTCGGCGTGGCGGGCCACCTTGGCGCGCTCGTACGGCGTGTTGAGCCGGAGCGAGCCCAACTTCTGACGGACCTCATCCGGGTCCGGCCGCGGCGTGGGGCAGGTGCAGTTCATTCGGCCACACAACAGGCAGCTGTGGGCGTTTGTGTAATGCCACTGTGGCGAGCGGGTACGGCAGGAGGGGCTACGTGGGGGATTGATGTTAAATACGCCCTGGGACGAGCCCCCACGGGGGATGCTTTCCTCCTTACGTGGACACGAGGTAGGTCTTTCCGGAACGGAGCTCAGAGGGCTTTTCTCTCGCGCGCGTCGGCGCTTTTTCGCAACATCACTCGGATGAAAAGGGAGATCAGACATGTTTATTTTAATTATTTTTATAATTTATCCCCACTATCTGTTTTTGATCTTGTAATTCCTTCGCAATGTGTTTTTTCAGCCTCTTACGTTTCACAAGGAAATAGAATAATAATAATAATTAAGAGAAGTACGAATGCAGCATTTTTTTTTTATATAGAAGGTATGGGGCAATACCATTATGAATCCTTAAAAATAATTTAATTAAGGGAGTATGGCTTCAAATATGTGTATATGTTACCGAGCTATAGCAATGCAAGCAGGTAAAAAACTCTACTTTCCGGGCAAACCACAAGGTGCTACTTCTTCAGTAGTGTAACTTCGATAATGTGGACCTGGCGATCCGTGGCTCTCTTTCCTCCGGATTATAGATGTGTAAAGATAAATATAAAGGGAGGATCGGGAGACATGTTTAAATATACGTGCAGCGATGCTTTTAGTACCCAAGGATGCAGCGCACCAAAAAGGTTATATATTTATTTCGAATTCCTTCTTCCACTTCTCAAACTTCTTGATGTTTTCAGGACTTACACTGCTGGGAACTTTTTTGAATGCATTCAGAAAGTCTTGCATGGTAATAGGCTGCTCCGCCACGCGCCGCCCGATTTCGGCCGCATTTTCTCGGAGCGCGTGCTTATCGGATTCATTCAAGAAGCGGCGCATCGTCATCATAGAGGCGTCACGCACTAAGTTCGTGATATCGGCTCCGCTGTAGTAGTGGCCTTCCAGAAGCTTCGACAACTTCTCAAAATCAACATCGGATGAAAGTTTAAGCGAGCTCGTATTAATCTTAAAAAGCTCCACACGATCACGGGTGTCGGGCAAAGGGATATAAATGCGCTTCTCCAAGCGACGGCGCATCGCTTCATCAATATCCCAGGGGTGATTTGTCGCGCCGAGAACCATCACTGTCTTCGAGGGGTCGACACCAACACCGTCCATTTCGGCAAGGAGCGTGCCTTTCACCCGTCGTGTCGCCTCGTGTTCAGTCGAGCCACCGCGCTGACCACACAGCGAGTCGATCTCATCTATGAAAATAGTGCTGGGCGCGTAGTGCCGCGCCACCTCAAAGAGAACTCGAATTAGTTTTTCGCTTTCGCCACGCCATTTACTGGTGAGGGTGGCAGGGGAGATGTTGAAGAATGTGGTTACGGCCTCAGAAGCCACAGCCTTTGCCAGCATTGTCTTACCGGTGCCCGGAGGGCCGTAAAGCAGCACGCCTTTCCACGGCCGGCGGATCCCTTTGTAGTAGTCCGGCATCAGCACAGGGTACACCACCGCCTCCTCAAGAAGACGCTTCGCTTCCTCCAGGCCAGCGATGTCATTCCACGAGACCGAAAGTTTGTTAACATCCATCTCTGCCTCTATGAGCTGCACAAGCTCCTCCTCACCCGGCCGCGCGGTGAAGTGTGGAACTCTGGTGCTTTTATTGGTGGGCTGCCTGCTACGGCCCGCCTTTTCCCCCTCACACCCGTTGAGGGCATCCGCACCATTTCTACCCGCTCGAGCTGGCCCACCGCGAGCCTCCCGGTGCGGCAAAGCTTTTTTCGAAGGAGTGCGTGCAGCGCCAGCAGTGCTGGGAGTTGAGGCATCGTACCTGTGTCGACGCAGACCCTCTGTAGGATTAAAGCGATCAGGATCCCTGCCGTTAGGGGATGGGTTTGAACGGCCTGGGTTGTTGGAGCAAGTGGTGCGCTGAGTCCGAGGGCCTGGCAGCGGCATATGTGCTGGCACCGTCGCAGTGATAGAATTATCTTGGCTATTGATTACATGTCGGTCACGGCGCGCTGCTTCTGCTGGGGTGGTCAAGCACCTTAACTCATCAACGATTCCGGTGACACAGGACGTTTCTTTCTCGATTTCTTCCTGTACTTTTATCCAACGAGAACACAAATCGTTATCTGTCATCCTTTGACTGATGTACTCCGTAATTTCGTTACCTACAACCTTATAGTACTCTAGCGCAACTTCATAGTTCGACTTCAAGGCACATTGGCGGGCTAAGTGAAGTGTCTTTGCTATGTCTGAATATTGGGACATCTAGCTTAGATAGATGCAAATAGGTATGTGTTTCTTTAATACACTCTTGATACAAAAGACTTCTACCATAGCAACCGCGATGTAGATTTTACCTTCCCGTTATCTTTCTTCACTATTAAATGCAATGACCAGCGAGATAAAACACGATTGAAGTTCACAAACTGTAGTCTCATGTAAATCATGCATGCACCAATACATTTATTAATTCATTCATAAATAAATTACGTATTTTGATGCAGCTCATAGAAAATTGTAAACAGAAGAATGAAGAAATTACCAATTTGGGGAAAATGGTATATACCGAGGAGAGAAACGTCTTTTGTTTGTCAAAAATTGTTATGTTATATAATTAATTTGAGGCAATGGACGTAATTTGGAGCACGTAAACGTATACACATTGTTTACTGCACTTAAATGGGGTGGAAAAAATAAAACAAAGACTTCACTAGATTTTTATCAGTAGAAAAAAGCTTAAGGGTTCCAAAAGTACTCTAGCAAAGCAACCTTGAGTTGCCTGCATTATATATCTGAAATCTCCACTGCAGACTGTTACCTGTTTAGTTTCCCTGTGTTCAACATTTATCCGTTATCAATAAAATAAAATAAAATAGACGATAGAGGGAGAAAGGAGAGAGAAAGAACTCCAAAAGAACGCAAACAGGCATTCAAAAGTAAAATTATAAATATTAAACGCACTATGGAAAAATCAGGAAAGTTTCTCATTTTTTTTTTAAGTTGAGCGGGAGATATAAAGAGAGGAAATTAATTCTTGTTAGAAACTTATTATCGAATAAAGTATTAGACGGACACTTATGTGAACTTTTTTTTTTGTACAGTACGAGAGTCAGTTTTGTTCTTATCCTGAAATTAAATTTCCATAGGTTATCTATTAGAGAAAATATAGATATAGAAGAAAATTTCAATGTACAAAAGTTAGTCATGTGAAGAAAAATGGAATCTGTGACGTGACAAAAAGCAAGAGAAGGGTAGGAAAATAACGTGTTACACTTCTTATCCCAAAGCTGTTTTTCCTTGAGTTTTCAATCGGTCAGAGAATCGAAAGAAAGGGTGAAAAGAAGTTTTCCTATTTTTCTCGTTGCTGGAATGAAGAACATTAATTGCTACCCCTTTTACTATTCTCTCAAACGGCTTAACTAGTATCATTTAACGCAGCGCGAAATAATTATTGGTGGGGATTTACAAGATTAGAAAAATGGCGACTAAAAACAAATGAGACATTTATGGAAAACATTATTAATGACAAGCATATTGGGTTCTCTCATCAGAAATAAATAATATTCTCGTTTATTTCGTAAGGGCTAAAATGTAACGCATAGATTTGAATAGTTTCAAAAAAGAATGGATGCATATCGACATTCAGATGGAAAGAGTATATATTCCATGACATTGGATCAATAAATATCAAAGAAAGGGTAAAACATCCAAATAATCTGCATTTACCTTTGGGACGTGTCGATCTTTAAGTTGTTGCCTATAAATTAAAAGTGAAGGAACAAGCCTTCTCCTAAATCATCTGTGTGTTAAACTAGAAAGCACGCAAAAAAAAAAAAATAGTACCAACCACCAAAGAAGCAATACTTCCATCGATAATCATTGCAACAGTAAAAGGCACAAATTGAAAAATAACTCCTTTCCATATGCCTTCATTTCGATATAGATTAAAAAATTACTGGTAAAGTGAGGTCACTATGAAACCCCACAGTATTGTGTTTACGACACCAATTATTGCACTGCTGCATAAAGAAAGGAAAAGGGACACCAACTACTCACACTAGCATCAAATCTGTACTCTTATCATGTAGAGCTTCATCCAGTCGAAACTATATAATTTTTTTAAATTTATTTTTAGAAAAGGCTTCCTGCTCCCCCCCAAATTATTCGAGTATCATTAGTATTACATGTATACATGACTATTTTAACATTTAGATGCCCCATCATTATCTATTCCGTCTCCATTGTTGGAGAATGCAATGAACACTGCTGACAAATCGCCTCATGGACCTGTAAACGTTTCTGTGGGAACGGCCGCTTGCAATATGCGCACTTCACGAAACCAAAATGTTTTACAAGCTGTATGACGGTAAACTTTGCGCGATAGGTGACCATAGGCATTGGCGCTTCGAGGAGGTCTGGATTTTCTGGGTGTCTTCCGTGCCCGGTGGTGATTAGGTGCTCCACAAGGTCCCCATAATACAGAAATACCTCATAGCAATTGACCTTGTGACCTGGACACTGATAGCAGAAGATAATGGCATCATCGGCGCCCAGACTCAGACTCACACGTCCATGCAGAGGATCAAACATGCCGGGGACGGAGTTTTCAGAGGCGTCTATTAACACTTCGAGCGAATCAGGTGTCACAGGGGGACCAATTATATTTTTATGCTTCTGAATGTGTTCGAGGTGTCCAATTAGATTCGTCTTCTTGCTCAGCTTGCTCGCATTCATCGCCGGCCTTAGGTATTCCTTGCACTCAACACAAAAACTGAGACAGTGTTTTGTGGCTATGATGTGGTTCACCATTCTTTTCCAGGAGGTGAATAGGTAGAAACACTCCCAGCACTGGTACACCACAATGTAGAAAGGTTCTTTTCCTTCAGAAGGTAAGCCCAATATACTTTGTTCGATGGGCTGAATCAGCGGACGATGCGCGAGGAAGGGATTCGCAGAAAAGGCTTCCCCTCCACATTCAGTGTCGTGTTCATTGGAGGTAAAGTCAGAAATTTCTTGAAGAGCAGTTTGGATTGGATTAGTTTCTTCAAGATTTCTCTCCTCGATTGACTCTGGGTCCTGTTTTTTTTCGGCAGGGGCTCGAAGATGCAGGATCATATCCCTGAGTGTGAGTCGCACATTGCACGTCTTGCATACGGCCTCGTCTTTAATACAATCCACATGGTGAACACTTCTAAGATGCTCAGCTAAATGGACTGGATGCGTGAAAGTAATGCCGCACACGCATGTATATTGCAAAATACAAAACCCAGTGAATTTGTTGTGAATGTTGTAATGGGAAGGCCCTTGGTTTTCAAGCAGATAGTTCTTCTTATTATTAAAAAATCCCCAGAATCCCAGGTGTTCGGTAATCTCCTCATGTTTGTTTGGTCTCCATGGACCAAAGCAGATGAATAGTCTATTACACTGCGCACACCGCGGTAGAGTGTGTGTCGAATGCTCAAGATGCTTCGTCATCTTAGTCCACGTGTCGTAACAAAAATAGCAACCCATACATCGAAATGTCACTTTAGAAGCACTAAAAGTATCGTCTTGACTACTCAAACATACTGCTTGTGTGGATTGATGTGTTGATGCCGCATATCGCAGACTGGCTGCATCGGTCTTTTTCACAGGCTCTAGCCCGTAATCTTCTGGTCTACCTGGTCGCTTGAATGCATCCTTTTCATTAATACGAATGTCCGGATAGAGGGCAAGATGGGAGTGGGTGGACACATCAATCGCTAAAATCGGAGATCTTGTCTGCAAGAGGGCATCTGTTGATGATGCAGTGGCGGCTCCGGTACCAGAAACCCCTGCTTTGATTTCCTTTGCTTTGTTTGCTTTTAGAATCTTGTTGATGCTCGCACGGAAGGCTCTCCCAACAATGTATGTATCACACAGTGGGCATTTTACCAGTCCGTGTAAGGTTTCGCATATGTGCCGGCACATTTGATTCATCGAGCAGCACAAGAAACTGCATGCCGGGCAGCCTAAAACAGTGTCGTGGGTGGCTTCTGGCGTATCTGGAAGCAACATTTGATATTATCTCCAAAAGCTATCGTACTGACTACGCTTCGTATTTTATAACCTCTGAAACACGTAAAGGAACCTTTCGTATTTACACTATCCGTATGACACTTCCCTCAGAGTCTAGTGTAGTATATATGTTTTTATATAAATATATAGATACGTATCTATGTATTTATATATATATAGGTAATAGGAATATTAATACTTGCCTCCTTCCTATTTTTAGTGTGTGATAATCACAGAGGCAATATTATGGCAAAAGGAATTGAAAAAGTATGTACAACTATATCTTTATATCTACGTTCATATATGTGATATATATATATATATATATATATGTATATATATGAGATAGTATATGGATAACAACTTGGTGTTAGCTAGGAAAAAGTAAAGAAAAAAAAATAAACCCCAACAGTTAAGGGCAACTTTTTTCTTTGAAAAATCAATAGTGCATAAAAGATGTAGTAAGGCTTCGCGCCCCGAGGGTTGCTATGGTAAGGGGTTGGTGTATAGAAATGAGGAATTAAGTTACCCAGTACCAGTTAATACTTTCTGATTGATTGTAAAATATTTTAAAAATTTAGGTTATAAAATAGTTTAATGTAAAAAGGAAACCCAGTACTTGATTTATTAAACTAATACGAAATCACGGGGAAAAAGCTAAAAAGATTTGTAATTTAATACTAAGAAAAAAGAAGATTCTTTATAACAAAAAAAAACGACAATAATGAAGATATTCGTTGCACTTTTTCTTGGAGAAATAGGGTATATATATATGTATTCTCCCTTTACATAAAAGGAATAAAAGTACAATAGTATCCTAAATGATGGTCACGTAGATTAACTTACCTTTCATGCACACAAAAAGAACCTAAATAAAAGGGAAAGATTAAGACCGGATGTCCAAAATTCGCGTCTTGACAATCAATACGCTTGTGCCAAATAGATATAGTGATGATGTAAAATATTGTGTTTCAATAATAAAAAATGATATATAGATGTGTATCTTCTGAATTTTTTTACTAGCTTTTAAAATTCACTAAGTGATAAATAGTAAACTTTTTCCTTTTTATTGTATTAGCAATTCTTTTAGTTCAAAGACGGTCTGAGCTATTTTTGACAATAATTCTGAAAGGTGCAAAAATACACACTAGGGACCTATATATTTTTCACTGTTTACTTTTGTGGTCAGCTTAATTCACGAAGGGAAAAACAAACAAAAATATATCTTAGTTTAAGAATGTGGAAAAACTTCAGGAAAAAGGGAAAGCATACTTATTTGGCATATTTCCATAATGTAAAATTCGCCATCAATATATAGATATATATCTGTATATGTATGTATATGTATATATATATATATATTAAAATAAGAATACATCTAGAAGTGAATGCGAATATAAACAATGATATCTAATAAAACCCAAGAAACGATGGCATCTATTTATCTATATTTATATAGACAAATGAACAAGTAGCTGCATGTATATACATGCAGCTACGCTTCCAGAAATTAAGCAGGTATTATTTTCGTCAACAAATTACTTTCATCTTTTAACATTGAATGCGGCAACCCCAAAATCTGATTAACAGCATATTCTCGCACGCACCCCCATACTAATAATGAGAATTTTTGCTGCTCTTCAAGATCTGCCGTCTGCATGTAAGGGTACTCCATAAGTAACTGCGCTCGCACAGCTTCCATATTCAGATCGCTAGTAAATTCTGTCACTGAGTGCAGATGGTTATGAGTCGAGATGTAGAGTTCCCGTTCCGTAGGGAGCTCAGCAGCCGCCCGAACGGCAATAAAATCCACAATAAAGATATCCTCTCGCGCCTTGGAGCACTCAGCCACGCGGTGAACACGATGATGTGCCTGTGCCTGCGGGAAGCTCGCGGGGCTGCTGCCTCCCGACGCCCCAAGGGCGTGAAACTCTGGGATACCCCCAAGGTCCACCACACCATGAGACTCATTAGCGTTAAAGCGGACTGTAAGCGATTTCTCTTTCCGAGGGGTGCTAGCGCAAACCTTAAGCTTTACATTAATCGGTTGCTTTGGTGACAAAGAAGCCTCCTTCTTCCGCTTGATACGATAGTCGCCGATTCTCACGGTCTCTATCAAAATTCGGATTGTGATACCGTTAAAAAGACTGATGCTGGTAGAAAAGACGTTGCCGCGGTTGTACTTAGGATAGAATATTACCTTCACATCACTGAGCTTACTGGCGTCTACCGTTAGAGCGTCACTGATGCGTTCACGCCTCGCGCCTAACTCCTCAGACATTTCTAAGTTGATTTCTGGACGTGTGGGGAAATCTATACAAGGTTGAGGCGGCAGAGGATTCGGAGAATTGTTCCGTTGCGACTGTATCAGTGGCCATTCTATCTTTCCCGTCGAGGTTATAAGCAGGTTTACCCGACATTGATCGGCTAATTTAACGTTCTTTAGTTGTAGCAACTTGACGAGCTCACCTTTCGGTGCCTTTTCTGTGAGCTCTGAGAAATGTGACAAATCAACGTCCAGGCGCAGCATAGTATCTTCAATAGACCAACGCGTGTCGCGGTCCAGTTGGCGAGAGCCGGTAAAATTTTTCATTGCTTGAACGACTAAATCTGGCTTGATAATACCGAAGTTATGCACTTTCATGGTAAGTATTATTGGTAAACCCTCGATAGTACCCTCTACGCATGAAGCGATTTCAGCGGGGTTTATCTTTTTATACATATCGATGAAAAATGTGAGCGACTCATACCTCAAACCACCGCCATTGGCGAAATGACATACCACATTATTCGCATTGGTAAGCTTATGGAACGAGGGAGCCGATGTATGCATCGCTTACAATACTTTCTCTTTTATAATTACAGCACACAGTATTTCTATAGCTATAGAAGTTTGTGAGAACTATGCATGTATATATCTATATATAGACTGATAAAGGAAAGAACTTTGTTTAAGCTTATAAATCTTTCCTTCAACTCAATACGGTTATTAGTCTTCTCCTTTGATCTTTCGGAAGAACACCCTCAAATAAAGGGAAAATAGAAACATAACCTAGAACATGAGTGATATCAGTAAGGATTGGTACCATTCGGTTCCATAGCCCATCTTCTTGCTCGAATTAAAGCATTCAGCTCGAGGATGGGACGAAATTAGCGCCTATTTCAGAACAAGGTACCATCTTTAATCAATATCTGTCGATACACGACACCGTAGATCCTTTAATATGAGCATGCACAAGAAAGTTCAACAACATTAAAGACATAACTATTTTTTATCTTGTTGCGACGCTTCCTCCAAGAAAGTTTTTACCGCTGCCTTAGCTTCTTCTTTGATGAGCGCCTCCTGACCCTCACGAAGGCCTAACTCCTCTCGAATTTCTTGAAGAACTCGTTTAAAGGAAAGATCGCCCAGATTTGATGCGGGTTTGGTCCTCAAGACTCGGAATACAGCATCACGCACCGTTTCCTCGTTTAGTGGCGGCGCTGGTCGATACGCATTGAACTGGATGCGACACACCATACTGCCGTTCAACACGATTGGTTGGAATCCCGAAGAAGTGCTCACCGTAACCGACTTCCCCGACGACGAGCGACCAAACGACTTTGTAGGATCAAAGGTGACACTCAGTCGCAGCACATCGTTATCTAGCTTGTCACACAACACAACCATATTACGAATTTTGCCATCTTCATCACCACTGTTTAGCACGCCCTCCTGACTTTTTCCATTCGTAGCTGATGCTGCGTCGGTGGACTGCGACTGCTTTTCCACACGCGCGCGCTTCTCCTTGGGCGGACCCAGGTGCAGCGCGAGGGTGGTGCCCCCCAGAACGCATGGTGACATGGCAAGACTCTCATCACTAAGTGTGCCCTCGAATAACACTGTTGCCTTATCCTCTGCAAAATAACGGACTGAGAAGCCATTCTCCAGGTCGACGGTACCGCCCACCGTGAGCTGCGTTCCTGCTGAGCCACACTCACCGATCCTATCCACGGCGAATGAGGCATTAGAGGGCCGATAACAGTTAAGACCACACATAATACCGGTCTTACCAACCACCTTGTTGCCGCCAGTTGAGGCGAGCAAAAAAGAGTTGCCAGACGAAGCCGGCCTCTCGGACGTCTTTTCGAAGTCTATCTCAATCACCAACGTCACACCATCTTCCTCAATACGCCAGGCGCACCCTTGTCCAACCTCTTGAAACACGTCCGTTCTTAGTTCAGCCACACCATCTTTTCCTAGATTTCTTTTTTCCAAGCTTTTCGTGAATAAATTGAGCCCGATAAATGCGTTCGAACTGCCCAATTGTTTGTTACCAGAGGAAGAGCCTATAATAATTGTCTTGCCGGAGGCGCTCTGCCCGAAGTCTTTGCTGAGATCGCAGAAGAGATAAAGCACTTTACCCTCCACAAAGAGAGAAATGTTTTTAGAACCCGGTAAAGGTGTCGCCTTAGTTGCAAGGGACATTCTTAACGTTCCTTTTTATAGATTGAATAGATTTATTCAGTATTTTTGGTGTGTTTGAATGTTTAATTTCCGACGAGGCACTTAAATAAATTATATATATATATATATAATATATATATAAGTATATCTGTACCAAAAGCTTCAGCCGCTATTTGTTCCTTGAAATCAGAAAGCAAGAATGCCAAAATTTTAGAAAACTGTGCGACGACAGCAAAGATAAAGTGGTGCATCAGACATAGAATTGTGCTATTTTACGTTGCATTTTACTCTGTAGATTTTCAAAGCCTCAGAAGGATTGGCAATTTCTTAAAGTAACATGAACGATACGCGTAAATTGGGCTGTTTCTAAAGTTTATACAAACCGAACGGCTTTACATGATATCTTAGTAGTATACATGTCTATATATATAGATATATTTTTCCTGGGCGATCTAGGACTCAGCACGAAGGCATTCATGGAAACAGTTTGCAAATTGCTCGTCTTGAAGTGCGTGACTCACCTCTGCGCCTCTGCAAACGCACTCACCAAGATTTACCTTCCTCATTTCCTTGTCCAGTTGCACGCAAAGATGAATACGCACACGAGCTGGGATAGCTAGCTCTGCGTAGCTCGTGCCCCATTTGAGCCGCGGCTCACTAATGCCAGTGCGCCTTTCCGCGTGCGAAGCTGGACTCTGTCTAGGCACCACGCACAAGGTAACACAAACATCCGCCACTTCCACGTCCACGCGGCTATCTACCAGGCTGGTCGCCATGTAGCAAAGGGGATGCAGTGCAGTGAAGCACGTTTGGAGCTTTTCACTGACGGAAAGCAGCGCCGCCTTGCGCGCTGTCTTTCGGACGTCGTTAAACAATACGTAAGATTGGCTCCTGTGCACCTGAATAAAGCGCTCAATTGAAGGGGAGTAGAGTCGCATTACCGTGGGAACGGTGTGGCGATCATGTAGCATCGCCAGGTACACTATCGGGTGCCCTGACAACTCTCCAACTGCGCGATGTCCACCTTTGAGCGCTCTATCATCATTAAGTGAGATGGCCAATTGAACTGCGAGAAGTATGGAAAGACACACCTCCGCGGCGGTCTGTGATCCGACCTTTGTGGCGCTGTCGTGCAAGACCAACGGCATCCACGGCGAGAATTGGGTAGTCGGGGTGTGAGGCAAGATAAGCGGAGGGCCGTCCCGCGCTGGAAGAGGTAGCCATAGCTCCAGATGACTGGCGATCTGGGCGCTATCCAGGGAAGCACATAGCGGCACCTCTTTCCATCGTTGCTTAGGCTCCCCCCTTTGCAACGCGTGGGGACTCTTTTGATGGTCTCCTGGTAAGGATGGCGATGGGTTTATCTCACATGCGGCGGCGCTCGTTGGTTTTCCTTCCACCTGCTTTGACGTGCCAAGTGCAACTGTGAGGAATCTAAACAGAGTAGTAAAACTGACCATAGTTGCGTGCGAACGCACCCGCACTTGCCTCGGTCCGCCCCATCCGAGGTAAAAAGAAAGCATCGAGTGCAACCACTCTGAACCCCCCTCAGTCACTTCACCACCTCGTAAAACAATTGTGAAGAGGCCTGATTCTAGCTGATCCAGCGTGTGCGCGTTGACCGCACTTGCGTCGCGTAAGCGACGGCGCAGGTCAGCGGAAACATCATCGTGCAGCGTGGACAGGCGAGCTAGCAGGGTACTACAGGCAATGCGCTGTGCCTTTTCGTCCTCTTGGGCGTCAAAGTCAACTAGGGTCGCCTTGCGCCCTAGGCTATGACGGCGTATGGCAGCTAGCCCGTTTGCCAACATGCAGGCCGGTACTAATGCATCATCATACTGCCGATCGATGACGCGAAGCCGGTAGTAGTAGTCATCACAGCATACATTAATATGGTCTGAGAAATCTGCGTGATGCACCAAAAAGAGTCTTCTGGGCTCGTTTGGTTGCATATACTCCTTGCCGGCCTGTTCTGGAAAATCACTTCGCACAAACGCCGTGTCCTTTTTCCCGGTTTGAGGGCCACGGTAGCCTTTGCTATGGACTACGCATGAGAAGAGCCGCTCTGCGTCTATCAACGTTTCGGATTCTAGAGATGATGTTACGCTTGAGCAGGTGACGTACGCCGAAATGATTCGGCGAATCACTTCAGCCACTCGAATATATTCCTCGGGAAGTGCTGCTACTGTTGAGGCGTCTGCATCAGCCTCCTTACTTATATCGGCGGTAGTATGCAAAATGAGATCGTCAGGGTACTCGAAAGTAATCTCGTAATAAGGGTATAGTGGGGTGCTAGGGTATCGCTCTGCTACGTCTCGCCACCACCACTGCTGAAGGCTTTGGTTAGATAAGCGTGATACAATAGCTTTATTCACTTCATCACTATTAGCGTCCTCGCTTCCAACAAGCGTCGAGAGCAGCAAACACTTGGTCTCGTTCGAGAATAGGGCATAGCCTTCATCAGTTAAGAATGACTTCACCTCACACAGAATAGATGGTGGAGGAATTTTTGCTAAATATTCCTCCCACCTCCTTTCGTATGAAGGGCAATATGCGCCATATGGTCTGTCACAACAGCGATTCCTCACATCACTGAAAGGCAACAAGCTGTTCTGAGCCTGTGGAGGTTCTTGAAAAAACGAATATTGCTTTGACTGCGATGCCTCCACAGCAACGCTATCGTTCCGCTCAAGTACCGAGCTTCGGTCTTTGTTCGATTTTTTCTTCATCGACATTTCGGAAGGACTATCTAACATGTGCAATGGTGACGAAGAAAGTAAAAATATGGTAGAAATAAAAATGATAATATTGCATAACTTGGCAGATCATAACACATAGCACACCTTTTTTACTCTCGGAATGTGTTATGCACGATCCGCTACCATCGTAAGCAGGATTTGAAAAGTCTTCCCTCTCACCTCCTTATCTTAAATATAACTCTTATCAGCGTCTTTAATACCATCACTTGTTGTGATTCGTCATAAAGACGATGCTTACAATAACTAAAATCCATACGACGAAAAAAGAGCCGAATCTTTCTTTTACTCAATAAAAAACACATCCTCTGAACCTTTAATTGTGCCTTAGATTGAATTTTTACATTAGAAAACATTCCTTTTTCTATAATATTATGTAAAGTAGTAAAGGTTGATTTCACTTGTAAGCACATGTTAATAGATGTATATTATTTCAGTAAAGTTGGGATTAAGGCTTCCTTTGTTTCGTAAGGACAACGGTCCCATGGTGGCAGCACAATCATATCGAGAGATATTCTCCCCTCTGTGTTATTTACTCTGAGCATTACTACAAGGGGGTCGAGCTTGCCCACCTCTTCGATTACTTGACCATTTCCACTCGGATCAGTCCATAGAAGCCTCACAAAAACGCGTTTAGGCTTTGCGGTGCCACTCTTCTGCACTCCTCCACCATAGGAAGACACACCTGTTTTGTGATGAGTTTTTTGTTTATTAAGCTCTATCTTTTGTCTAATATCTGCTGTCTGAGATTCCTTTCCTCGTGAGCTACCATTCGCGTCACACGTGGCGTTGTTTTCATTAGATTTTTCCGTTTTCCCCCTGACACTTATGGTTCGTGCACCTTCTTGGTAATTCTCTGTACTTATCCATTCGAATAATTGCTTATTATCCCGAAGCCCTATTTTTACACTTACTGCAATCTCGCTTGAGTACAGAACTAGACTACTTTTGTCTATTTGTATAACACACGCTTTTGTGTGTTGTACTGATGGAATGTATTTAACGCTCTCTGACAGCTGCTTTACGGCCTGTAGATAAACGCATAAAAAGAGCTTTTCTGAGGACTCACTAGCTTCCGTGGCAAGCTCTTTGGCATTTTGGGAATGTATTGCAATGTCTTCAACCTCATATTGGTTGCAACACTGATTATAATCTTTCAGATACTCGGGGGGCAGAAGTTCTTCGACTGCAAGAGGTTTCTTGCCGAGGCCCAGTATAAGGTCAGAGTCATGTGTGTTCAGATCACCCCCATGTATCTCTTTCAGTGCTTTCTCTATCTCAAGCGCAATAGCCAACTGCCTATGCACAATAATATCACAATACCGGCGAATAGGTGACGTGAAGTGCGTATACCATGGTAAGGCAAGCGCATAATGGGAACGTGGAATCTCGCTCTGTACGTTATTCGCAAAGTACTCTGCACGTTTCATAGAACAAACTAATAGATTGCATATCGCATCATAGTTTTCGCTTTTTTTAGCCCCCTCGATCATACCCTGGAGACCCTTGCCCTTCACATTCGTCACGTCAATACCATGTTTAATGAGCAATTGTCGCAGTTCAATGACCCTACTCATATCTGGGGGAAGGTGACGACGCAGAAGAGCAGTATCAGCGAGGTACTCCACAAGCTTCTCGGCAACACGTGTATTCGCCAAGAGCATGAACTCCTCCACCAACCAGTTTGAATCAATCGGGCGCTTCACATAGAAACCAATGGGGCGACGCTCAGAGTCCGTGTCATCGAAAGCAAAACGTAATTTGGATTTGCCGATATTAATGCGACCGCGATTGAAGCTGTCCTGGCGCAACTTTGTGGCCAAAGTGTGAAGCAGCTTTACAGACGAAATAACTTTCGTTCTCAACACGCTCTTAGAAACTCCAGATACCGCGCTTTCGTTTTTAAGGTCGATTTCTACTTCCCTATCGTCGATGATCTCTTGGGCCTGTTCGTAAGTCAATTTACATCTCGAGCGAATGACTGACTTTCCAAACCACTCCTCCACGATTTGGCCGTCTCGATTCATCTCAAACAGTGCGGAAAAGGCGTATTTATCTTCTCCGGGATTAAGGCTACATAAACCATGACTGAGCTTTTCCGGTAGCATTGGAAAAGTGCGATCCACGAGGTAGACGGATGTTGATCGTCTCCTTGCCTCCTCATCCAGAGGCGTTCCGGTTTGCACGAAATAAGTGACATCAGCGATGTGAACGCCGAGGTGGTAGCCACCATTGTTGGTACGACGGATGCTGAGAGCATCATCAAGGTCTTGTGCGGAAGACGGGTCGATTGTGCAGGCAAACTCGTTGCGTAAATCTCGCCGTCCCATGCGCTTCAGCTCGTCTGCGTCAGGAATTTTGAGTTCTGAGGGCAACGAAGCCTCAATATCGTCATCGAAGGACCTAGGACGTATTCTATAGGTTTCACAGATCGCCATCGTATTGGCTTCTACGGAGCTCACTGTTCCAAGTACACTTTGGACCTTAGCTTTGATCATATCGTCCTTGAACAAGCATACTGAACCATCTTCTTTTGACTCAACACGTAGCAAAAACAAATATAAGCTCAACTCCTTATGATAGGGTGCTGGTATATCTGAACCATGCACCACAAAGGATGGAAACAGTGGGTCGTACGGCTGGAATCGATAGTAGTAATTACTCTTAAAGATGGAAGAGTAGTTTGCGGGCAGGGCCCCATCAGCGAGGCGCGCCACGTGATGCGCTTTCAAATCACGATGTAGGACCGCTATGACTTTTCCTCTTGGGCGTAGATCCGGTCGCCATTCGTATTTATCCGGTGCGCCCATTTGACGTGCCAATTCTACCTCCATTGTGGCCCTCTGCCGAGGCGGCAGTTCAGAGAGCACTCGAACTATCGGGCGTCCGTCAAGCAGTTTTTTTGGCATTGTCTGTAGCCCATCAAAGTCGTATTCCGACTCAATCCTTTCAGTTTCTGATGGGCTGAAATCGGAATCGTCAACGTCATTGAGATTCGGAATTATTGGTTCCCACTGACTCTCTGGCAGCAACTCAATTGCCACAATGTCATTTTGGTAGACATGTGCGATATTGCATTCCTTGGAGTTGAGAGCAATGTCTTTAGGAAAAAGTGGGCTTCGAACGAATCTAAGCATTATGGACCACGTTTTAAACACATTCAGCTTGCCAATAACGATTTTTCCCTCACGGACACCGTTTTCCATCTCAATGTTTGAAGACATTTCATAGCGCTTAATGATCCTTTCAGGATGAGAGCTCGTAGAATGCGGCTTCGACATTTCCTATGTGGAAAAGCAAATTAATCTACACAAGAAGAACCAAGAGGAGGATGACACGAACTATGAGAAAGGGGAAGACGTCCAGAAATAAGAATAGGCAAAAGGATAATATACCGCCGAGCCATTCGATGAAAAAAAATCACCAATAGAAGTAATTCATCGGTCCAATCTTTAAACATCAAGAAGATTTTGAGAAATTTATTCGCTCTAAATTCAAACTCAACAAATCAAAAAATATGCATTTCAAATTCTCTTGAATCTCTCAACTCTACAATTTCATTCTGATTCTGAAGACACAGAAGAAGAGGGATTTAAAAACTCGTCCAAGATGAATATCTGCGGATCCCTTTCAACCTTTAAAGATTGAGCCGAAGTTTGAAACGATAGATGAACCTTGTTGAACTGTTTTGGACCCTCGTCATGGCAAGAGTCGAACTTATCAGACAGAGAACTACCGCTCTGTGCGTCTCCAGTCCTTGTCAGAGCTCGCTCCTGCTGTGGAGTCTTTCCTTCCAGAGCGGCACTCATGATGCGCAGCGTGAAGTCTCGAAAATGCGGTGTCTGTTCTGTGGTCACACCGCCGATTAAATCTCTTCGAATGTCACACACTTGCAGCGTTCGGCGATACTTAACAACGGCATCTGGATAATTTTCCCATTTCATACTACTTCGAAGGTCTTTCATGGACTGAAAGGTAGGGAGGTGGTGAAACACTGCCTTGGATGCCACAACGGAGCAGCTCGCACGCTCTGCCGCAAGTTGCGATACCATGAGCTCGTCATCTCGACCATAATTACCATAAAGCTTGCTTTGCAAACTATGCATGCTGTGGCGTCCGCCAAGTTCCCGATCAAACATGTAGTCGATCACTAAACGTGCCATGATAGAACTAATAGGTGTACTGTTGGATACGGTCGAGCTGGCCGGCGCTGAGGATGTGGCGTTTGCTCCCCGTTCACGTGTCAGCTCTGTCTTTGTAGGCTTCATATCGGTACCAGTAATGTCATGGTGTGTAGTCTTTGGAATTTTCTCTTCTTTATAGCTGGTGACCTCGGTTTCTTGTGAGGATCTTTTCCGCTTATGTTTACCCTTTATCCATATCTCACTGCTCGCCCCACCACCTTCAGCTGCTGTTGTTGTTTTAACAAGAAATTCATTGATATCCATGGGGGCGCGTCAATGATTTCCTCTAGTTTATCTATGCCCCTTGTTAAAGAGTAATTTAGAGATATAAAAGAGGGTTAAGAAGGGAGAAGGAGCATTGAAAAGCTAAACCCTAAATAATTTTTGAACATGCAGCTGTTATCCAGTTAAGATTGTTGGGATGCTTTTGGTTTGGGCTTAAATAAATCACCCCTGTTTACTCAGAGGCGATTCAACTTTCAAATCACCTGCGTTACCAATTCCAGGGTCATCAGTTCTGCAAAAAAAAAGGAAACGATTTTGCTTACGGTTCAGCTATAGGTTGGCTTATCCAAAGAACATGGATAGAGGGTCCTACACGAAACTATCGGTGCCATAGATGGTGATACTCCCTACTTTCTCAGATCTCTAAAAAACAGTCTGAGTCCTAGCAGATGTTTTGAACAGACTTTCATAATTTTTTTCTCTGGACGTTCAACGAGAAGACAACCAAGAGGAATTATCTCAGTATGTACGTTCTTGTCTTTCAACAAAGTTTTCCCCTGTATAGATGAGTGAATCTGGTTGAAGTATTTGGGGTTGCAACCTTCTTGATCGAAGCAAAAAGAAACCTCACGAAAAGATGAGGGAGAGATTGCCACCATCAAGACGCAGCCATATACATTATAGATAGGCTTGAAGCAAATATGAATGCTACCCACCAGCGTTATTTATTGTGTTAATTAACGCCTTCTCATAGGTGAAAATACGAAGGCTAATACTTAATGATGAAGCGCAACTTTATTTATACGACTTTTAATTTTATCAATACTGAATAAACACTGGACGACGATCCATAATATGCCCTATCGTCGACCAACTCTTCACTATCCGTCAAACTTCTGTCTTATTCCATTCCCAAGAGAGGCCACTTTGTAGACTCTCGAACTTCTTTAATGTTTAACCTAGACCATTTTGTTGCCTTAAATAGAGCGAAAGAACAGATGCCATTGAAGGCACTGTGTAGGATGGCTCTTGAAGAACGTTCCTTAACCAGGTATTGACCTTTTTGATACGATTTGTCTTTGTGAGAGAGTCCAAAACGTCGCCTTCTGAACCAGGGTTGGCTTGCTGCCAAACAACGTCATCTCGGAAGTAGGTGCCGACCATCTTCTTATCCCCATCAGCAGCCCTATGAGCTTCGGCACTTCTGGTTGCATCTTCTGTGAACCTCGCCTCCTCGAGCTTACGACGAGGCATTGATACGTTGATAACGCGAAACCCAGAGACATCATCAACGACAGCCACCTGTCGCTCTTTTTCGTCAGTAAAGACCTCACTAGACAGACTAACCATGTGAAGTATGCGACTCGATATTGTGCTTTTAATGACTCCGAGGGAATTTCCGAAAGAATTCAGGGGATCACAACTGATCTCGACTAAGCTGCGATCCTCGCATGCCACCAGCAGGGAGTGGGGTGTAAACTGGCACAGTGCCGTGATGGTCGTGCTGGCTGAGGTCGAGGGGATCACGCAGCATGCGTTGCTTCTCTTAGGTGACGCTAGGTCCCATAGAAACACATGCATCCCATCGTGCGCCGCGACCACCCTGGTTGTCTCGTTCAGCAGCAGGTGACGCAAGGGTTCGGTGCTGGAATTCTGAACCAGACAACAAATTTTAGTCCACGGCTCCCCCGCGCGGCACTCCGCCACCGCGTACACGTGAACACAGTCGTCAGCCAAGAAGCAGAGGGTTCCATCGGTTGATAATATCATATCCGAAACATTGAACGTCGGTGTGGGATTAGTAGACTGATTGCGCCAGCTGCGATGGGCTGTTGCAATGGCGTCGTTTGCGTCCTCAAAAACCTCCTCCCAGCACTTCACAGATTCTCTAGCAAGGGTAAAAACACGCTGATTCTTCTTATCCACACGCAAGGCGAAAATCTCGCCGTCGTGCGGTTTATAAATGGTTTGAGCCTCTTCATGACGTTTTTTACTTGCTTCGTAGGACCAGAAGCGCAGTAAGGGTGGAAGGGAGGTCGGGGTGAATGACTCATATGTGACCAGCACACGACCGTTGCCTAACAATCCCGCGTGGCGAATGCCGTGGCGCGGCATCATCGGTATTGTTTCTTGTTGTGAGGAAATGTGAAGCGAATAGACGGCTTGTTGGGTCATAGGATCACAAATACGCAGAACGTTCGGAAGCCCCGTCACTATGACAGCCGGTTGCCCCATCCATCGGTCCACCACGAGGCCACTGTACGCCTCACTTGACGCCCACTCGATCCCTTCTACGCACACCTCCAGCGTCATGTTCAGGAGGCTCACCGTAGCCAGGGTTGCGGTGTTACACACCAAGAGGAGCCTGGAGCCGGTCGAGACAGAGGGTACCACGCAGTGAATGGTGCCAATGTCACAGGTGATCTTGCGATGGGTGTAGGAAGTGGTATCCCAGACTAGGAGAATGGACTCATGTGCACCAGTGTATAGGGTGGATCCGTCCACAGAAAAACTCAGGGCCGTCAAGGGTGTGTGATGCCAGTGGTCCGAGAAGAAGTGCGTGTTGTTTGCATCAGGAAAAACGACGAGCTCCCCACGGCACCCACCCAATGCAATCGCCTCACTCGTCGGGCTGCATGCCATGCTTTGAATTGAAATGGGCAGCACACGCCTGTGAGACGTGCACGCTACGGCCACATCTTCTCGGTCCTTGGGCAGCGAGAATTGAAGCCAGCGCTGTGCCCGCTGTGCCACCACGACAAGCCCCGTGTGTGCGCCCACTGCCGCAAAGCAGTCGGGCATAGCGGTTGGAAGCGAAATAATCTTAACAGCGCTCACGTTGCTGTCTAACTTGAGTGCAACTTCATAAACGGCACGGTCTGTTAGGAGAATAGCATACAAATGACCCATGCGCTCGTAAAAGTGCACTTCATGAATGCCATTAGAAGTTACTTCAGCTGGGACAGTTTTAGATCGCTTGCTGGAAGCGCCGTGTGAACGCCCCGCAGCTGCAGAAGCGGACGGCACCGAGTCGGACTGCAGACATATTGTGGTGCTGAATTTGACTGCAACGGGCTTAATCGAAAGCACATACCAATTTGCTTCAACATCCATAACATGCAAAGTGTTCTGCTTCCCGTCAGATGAAGGTTGGGTGTAGAGACCACACAGACGGGCTCCGGTAAAACGCTCTTCACGGAACTTTTTTAAAGTTTTGGATGCAAAAAAAGCGACAGCGTTGTCCTCTGCAACGCACAAGGCATCATCACAGTGCGCAAACAAATTTGGTGAGACCATTTTCTTGTCTGAAATTGACTCTGCAAAATGCTAAAACTCGAGAGAGTAAAATGTTTTAAAAGCAAAAAACGATATATATATTAATAAAGAGTGAGAAAGAAGATTAATGAAGTTAGATGAAAAGCGAATAGCTCATTATTAAGCACTGGATTTCATCATAGAAACAAATCAAATGTCGGTAGTATCGAGGTGCTACAATGAAGTCTTTCATTCAAGCTTTAATATTTACCTTAAAGAGGGTATATGAAAGAGTTGACTGCGTAGACTAAGATCCATTTGAAGAATTATTTATCCTTGTATTCTTATCATTTGTACTCCAGCTACCACCTCCAGACGGTTAACTCTTGTCTCACTTAAATTATCAATCTCTTTGGATGTGATTTGGATTCAGATGCTTAAAAAAGTTGATCTCGTGCCTCTATCAAAATCGCAAGGTAAAATCGATCCATCGGCTTGTTACATAAAAAAAATTCAGAGTAAAAAATAGGAACATGTGTAGTTAAAATATACCGTATCGGTACGCATTAGAAGAGCTGAAAAGAAGCCGCTCTTCTTCAGGGCTGATTCCCACGAAATATTGAGGTCTATATCTCGACTTGAATGCTGAAATTGTGGCGGATAAGAAAATGAGCGCTAGGATAAAGTATACGATCACACGAATATAATGTTCCTTAATGTAATTTATAACTCTAAGAATTATTGATCCAAACCAACCTGGTGACGACTCGCCTAGCGTAGGAGAAGCATTCCCGCCTAAGAACTTAAGATCCTTGTAGTGAAAAGAACTTTCCGCTAAATGGGAGGCCCCACTCCCAGTAGAGCTTGTAGTGCTGCTGTTCGTTTTCACATCAACGGAGGTATTTAACGCAAGCCGCTCTTGCGAACGTCTGCGCCTCCGCGTGAGTGCAGAGGGGGTGCTTGAGGTTCGGTTAGCGCGCGCACTCAAATCTTTTTTACCCACATCAATGCAACCCGACGTACTTACTCCCCTTGGTATTATTCCCTTAGTGCCTTTTTTGCGATGACTGTAATACAAAACTTTTTTAGTACTATTCAGTTCACGTGTACTCGGTTCAGAAACGTGGTTAAGATCGATAAAGTGATAAATTTTCCGACCCCTCACCGGGTGGGAGGGTTGCTCATCCCAGAGGATGCGCGAATCACTTGTCGTGCTCTCGTTCTGGGCAGTCTGCAATTTGCCCAGAAGTGGAGAGGTAACCCCAATAGGCGACGTCATCACCACCCACTGAACATTGGGGCCGCACATCGGTAAAGCTTCCGAGCCCTGATACATAACATAGCTTTGCTGCATCGGAAGGAGTAAGGATATCGAAAATTTACCCAATGGGTCTGCTATCTTGCGGTGTGGCTTCGAAAGTGAGGAATTATCAAGAAGGTGCTCCACCGTGCTAGAAAAAGTGGTACCAACGGAACACTCTTTGAGGAAAACTACCACCATGAGTGCCCTTCGCATCGTCTCGTTACTTTCGATGTTTGTAAAGCACATGTACAGCGTACCGCCTCGCGACGAACGCTCTGGAGAGGCATGAAGATAAAAGCCCTGCAAATAGTAGACTAAACCACGATCAACGGGATCTTCGACGGTGCACATATCAGTTCCCCCTGGTGGTATTGCTCTGGGCTTAGGCGAAATGTGAATGGCACCATTAACCTCGTCAAACTCCACTTTCATATCATCCACTAAGAATTCACATGAATCTGAAAACTTTAATCGAGTGATGTGGCTATTACTTACAATATCTCTTGGGTCGACATCCACCGAAGAAGTCGGGCACCAAGGCCTTTGTGGCTGGCTGAATCCTAGCGCGTCATGATCGGTTTTACCAGAAGTGGCTGCAGTTGCCTCGATGACCGCGATACGCACACACAAAAGTGTTAGAGCTACGAACAATATCGATAAACCAGAGAAGGTATGCATCACTTCGTTGTGCATGCTAAAAGCTTAAAAGAAAACAGAAAACCCCACTTAGACTACACCCCAGTGATTTGAACGACAAGAATAAAAAGGAAATGGTAATAAAAGGTCCATGCAGAATGGGCAATCAAGTTCAGTCATTTCCCCTTTTTACGTTAATCGATTTAGATATTCATTTAGTGACATTTAATCGCAACGGAGGAACAGAAAACTTACCAGAATATGATCTACTAAATCTTTATACTAAATTCAATATATTCTCTTCCAAATTAAGCAAAGAGTCATACACATATAATATCAAAGGGTATTCAACCATAAATACATAATAACGCTAGAAAATTACTTTTTTGTAACAAAAACAGAACCATTCGCAAACAACTTGAACTTTATCGCCACATCATGAAAGAGTGGCGTGTGCTAGAGAAACTGAGCCGTAATTTTGATGAGCAGCAGCACGCCGCGACTCCAGAAAACGCTGTCTGGAGGCATTCCTTGATCTCCCCGATGATGGCGCCGATGCATTATCAGGGTCTGATTGTGCAATGTCTTGCGATAGCGCAGCAGTAGGCTTCTCCGCTGTTGAAGGTCCCACTTGTAGCTCGACAACGCTATCGCCGTCCTGTTCGATGATATTAGCATACTGCTGACGCTTCTGCATAAACCAATTTAATAAAAGAGTCGACATGGCACACAAAAGAAAGAAAAAGAAAATCCATATCAAAGCCATTACAATAGGAGCTGCGGAGCCGTCCTTCATCGATAAAAGTGACTTTCCAAAGGATATATACCTTTAGATGGAATCAAATAGATAGCGAATATCTGATACACTAGGAAAAAATGTCCTCGTGTTGTTATCTCTAACCATAAACTATATATACTAATACAGAGAGAAGCTGTGGTAGAGAATGCTGGGGAAATGTGCAACCAAAGAACACGATAAATGGAATTTGCGCCACCCTAAGCTGGATCAGGCTCTTCCCTAATGGTTCTTGTGATATCTAGATAGTGGAAAAAAAATAGAGAAAAAATATAATTTGATTCGAATTTCTTAGTCTCCCAGCTACATCGAATAGCATTATTTAGATAATGCGAGCACATGAAGCAAAAATATGAGAGCCTTCTCTAGCACATCTCTCTCTCTCTATATATATATATATATATTCCTACTTGGTTTAGATACACATTAGCGTAAGTTTAGCACGTAGCTTCAAATATATTATACATATTCAAAGGACCCCCCAAAATTCTTATATGCCTATATTACGTGTGACGCCAAAAAATATATGGGCTTTTCAAAAAAGAAACGAGATTTTCAAATGACTTTTATCTCGACCGTTACTTTCATAACCTCCCCCATTAAAGAAAAAAATGGAGCTTTAAAGCGGAAAAAAATGTATGTGATGAAAACAAGTCAAGAGGCAAAGAATAGCGAGGAGTAAAATTTCGTATAGTATCTGGAACCTTTTCAATGCTTTAGGGAATCCATAGAGGTAAATTTTTCTCCTTTTAAAAACCTATAATTTACATGACATAAACGACTCCATTATAGACAAACAATAAATCACAAAAGACGGCAATTTGATAGGGTTTGAGTGCATATGAATATAATGCATGTTTCAGAGTATACAAAAAATTGTGTAGAAAGTGGAAAAAAATAAAACGCATTTATACATACACAAACACAAATTTTATTTACTTAGTGAATTACTTATCCATAGGTGCATGTTTACGTGCATGTTTCTAGAAAGCTACTCCCCCCCCTTATTAATACAGAGATTAATGAGCGGTAGGAATAAAAATAGCAGGAAAGTCATGCAAGGGTATATATTTTGGGCAATGACTTTCTACGTAATACAGTATTTAAAGTGAATTTTGAGCGCATGTAAAATAGTGATAGCTAGATTAAGTTTAATATACATAACCACATGCATATCATAAGGTGTATATAAAGCCCTCACTTACACACATACAGACAAAACAAAAAAGGATTGGTCAACTCTCACCCAAGGTAGTGGTAGAAACTAGAGGCTGGATCGGTGGCGCAGAAACGTAGACCTCCCCCTTTTCGACATCATCCGCCGCCCGGGCACAAATTCGAACACATGAATCTACAGAGTTATGAATACAAAGATTTGGCAGGTATGAGGGCATGTTACGTTTCATAGACGAAGTACTATAGGATGTTGATGAAAGACAATCCACAGCAAGTCCACCGTTTTTACCATACACCGTAGAGTTCATATTCACCGTATTCGTCATCGAGAATAGCTCAAACACAGCAACAACGTATAAATGCATACTTGGGGTGCCCTCTGGCGGGATCTTGAGTATTTCATCGTGATAATGACGTTGCGAGTTCACAAAACTTAGAGAGGATTCTGAGATTGGCGTGAAGGGTGCAATGGAGCTGCACGACGTTGAATTTCCCCCGCCAAACCGTTTCTGAGCCCCTTCATAAGTGTCACCATCTAACAAGGCGCGAAGGCTTTGAGCCCGAAACGCCACATCGCCCCACCCCGTGACACACATCAGGACGGCATTCGACGCGGCCCGCTCATAGCACCGCTCGAAAAGCTCATAGGTGAGTTTCGCGCGCTCCTCTGGGAGGAAACCCACTGAAAGGAGCCGGTAGCAGTCTTGTACCACCCCACGGACCTGTTCCCGCCGCCCCTCCACCCTTTGTGAAACCCGCAGCCAGTCAAACATGTGAACGGCATCCCGCAGCGGCCAGACGGAGCTCACCATGCTGGAGAACATCCGAACCGCAACACGCAGCAGCCCCCCTGTGAGGTCATGGGACACGTCCTGAAGGGGGTCCCCCCCTTCCCCTCTGTCCGACTGGGGCGCAGTGAGGCTACGAAGGAAGGCCTGGGCCTCCCCCATCCCGGCCTTCCACCGGCCCCCTTCCCGGCATTCCACCCAGTGCTGGGCCGACCACGCCTGATTGCGACACTCCACGCCGCAGTAACGTGCCCCACAGCCGTAGGCACAGCGCACTGACTTGGGCTCTTTCCACAACAGGCGGAAGAGCTCCGACTGGAGGCCCGGGACGTGGGCCCGGATCCCCTCCTCGAGGAAGGCCTTCCCACAGTGCTCGCAAAGCCATCCAAACTTTGTGGGGGTGAGAGGAAGGTCTACCAGCGCCATCAGGGAGGTCGTTTCCTTGAACACGATACCCCCTTTTTTGACCGGGCAGCGCGCCACAAGCTGGGCTCGCATGTGCGGCTGATTATACTCAATTTTGATCCTTGGGAATTGCTTCATTCGGGAACCGAACAGCATGGCGATGGAGTTTTCAAAGAAAAGTTTTTGAATGACGAGGTTGGTGGGATCGCGTTTGATGGCATGTCGGTAGTAAGACTGGGCGTCCTTAAACCTGCGCATGCTCCGCAGCACGTTGCCGACACGCACGTAGCCGAGATAGGACTCGGGTGTCAGCGCAATGACCCGCTCCGCATCTGAGAGGGAATTCTCGATCTGCCCGAGGAAGAGAAAGGCAACAGAGCGGCTGCTAAGCACACGGGCAGCCTCCTTCGGGGATTCGCGTAGAGCTAAATTGTAGTAGTAAATCGCCGATTCGTAATTTGAATTTTTGATCGCGTGCGTGCCCTGCTTCATCAGCATGGTGAACTTGCTCCGTGTGCAACGCTTGGTGGTCTTCGATGCAGACCCTGTGGTGTCCGTCTTCGTATCCACACTCGAGGGGCGTGTAGGAGAGGGGTTATCACACTTCGCCGCCTTGGACTCCTTCTGCCGCCATGCGGAGCCACCATTCTCAGAACCCCCACTAAGCATCCCGCTCTGGGAACGAGCACAGTTCAAAAAGCATCTTGGGGAGCTTTCAAAAAGTTTATTCTTCATCAACAAATTTCGTGATACCGTCTTCGAGATCGATCGATCGAAAGCATGCTTGTTGGGCTCACCGTCGAGCCGTCGAACAACCCTGAGGCTATTGAATGCAAGGGGCTCATCATCGTCAACTAAGTGCTTGGCAAGCCCAGAAGAATACTTCGTCGTTTTAACCTTGGGTTCGCTGAGACAGGCACGATAAAGAGTGAATCCTACCTGCATGAAACCATCTATATCTGAGCAGAGCACAAAGGTGTAGTCCCCCAAATGTCTCGCAACCTTCACACGGCGTCGAGGTTTACTGAAAATATCTTCCATAAAAGGTTCCCAGTGTTTTGATTCCTGAGCTATTTTTGCAAAATCGATATCCAGAAGCTCCACCTCGCAACCCAAGGGAAAATCCTCCGCCGCAGGCGCTAGTGGGCGATCCTCACGCGTTTGAATTTCAAAACACGGCAGACTAAGGATACAGTCTTCGTGATTCTCCTCATTTGGCATCCTAAAGTCACGGTATAAAATTTCAGTCATGTTTTTTTATCCCCTTACCAAACAAATCCACTTTATATATGTATATATATATATATATACGTTTTTTTTTGAAACAGTTATATAACTAAATTAATTAAGCAAGTTGTTCTGTGGGGCCTTAATGCAACTCCACTTGAATTAGAACAAAACGAAAACTAATATAAGTAGTTTCTATTATTATAGATATTTCTAGGCTATGTACACTGCGTTTTGCGCGACCATATGTGCAGAACGAGTAGAAAGAAGGTAAAGAAGGATGTGCACTAAACAATATGTAGGAACTCCATATCAAGCGACATCGCAAATAATAATGATAATAACAATAGTCTTAGGAGAATACTTTAAGGGCAACAATTTATATCCTCTTAAATGGCATTTCCTTCTACCCATGATATTGTAATAAATTCGATAACGCGTAGGACTTTGGATTATTTTCATGAAACCGTGCGCTTAGTTGATGTGCAATACCCCATGCATTAATGCAAAGGCCACAGGAGGTTTCATTTGCAGTACAAACAGGAAACATCCCGAAAGTTGAAAGGAAAACTTATTGCCAATGAGCGCAACTCAGCGAATAATAAGCAACCTCACTTATCTACATACGTCCTGAAAAGAGTATTCCTCTTCGTTATCTTCTTTTTGATTCATTAGCTATTGACCCACAAACATCTGATCAAAGATAACCGACATCCGGCACGCGTCCTTCATTCGTTCCGACGGATCGCGCAGCAGACGCTCCATTCTCGCCGCCTCCGTCTTCCAGTCCTGCTTGCCGTCGTCGATGCTCGCCATGATGCGGGGTACGGGCTCGATCACAAGGGCGCTGCGAAACTTCTCCTCCGTCCCCGACGGGGGTTCGATAAAGGAGAGCTCCTCGAGCGCGCGCTGAAGCTGTGAGAGAGCGGGGATCTGATCTAGCAGGGGATTGTTCAGAAACCGACGCGCCCGCAGGATGATGTCTTTCCGGGACTGCGTGAACATGTACTTCTTCCGGCACTCCGAATCGCAGAGGAGCTTGTGCAGGCAAAACCACGTGTGCGCCTCAGGGGTGCAGACTCGCAGCGCCTCATCCCCTTTGACGGCGACGAAGTGGCCGTTTTGGAATTTCTGAACCCCCCCGTCGACGCGCCGCATCCACGGCTGCGCGAGGAGCACCTCGGTGAGCCCGACAGGGAGGTCGCTCTTCCGCAGCACGGCGTTGCTCGCCGCGAGCGGCAACCCATCCAGCCGCTCGATCACAAACCACAGAAGGGAAAGGGAGGCCATCGCCCGCCCCGCGGCCGCCTCCCACAGCTTCTCGTCCATCCTCCCCGTTGCCAAGGACGGGGAGGGGCGCTCGGCGAGCAGCCCGCAGACCTGCCGCCACGCGTAGTCGATCAGCTCCAACACGTCCTCGCCGAGCCCGAGGACGGCGCCCTCGTCGAAGCAAACGCACTCGAAGAGGTTCACCAGAACGGATTCGTAGTCGCAATAGAGGTACGACGCGGCGGGGTTGGAAGGGATGGCGTCCTTAATGAAAGGCAACACGCGATGTCGCCACACCTCCATCGTGAGCAGCTCATGCAAGAGGATGGGGAGGTGTTGATGCTCGAGAAGGTAGGCCCGCACGTAGTCATCCACCTTCCGTACGGCGTTGCTGTGCGTGCACATGTTTAACTGCTCCACCGCGAATCGCTGATTCTTCCACGCCTCGCTGCCAATGTCGCTGATTCGGAAGGGTTTCAGCTCGCGAACGAGGAGGTCCGCTTCGACGGGCGAGAGAACGTTTCCGGAGAACTCCATCTCGTCGTACGGACTACGCAAACACGCACACAAAAGGAGAGGTCGGAAAAAGTGTAGATCGTTAACTAAAGAAGTTCTTTTACACCCCTAAGAATCAAACAGTATGGAAAGAAGAGCAAGCATGAGAAAAACTCTCAACACAGATAGTAGAGTGTCCACGTAAGCAAATATTGACAATCCATCAAAGCTGCGTAGAGAACGGGTGACTTCCTCTCTTCCCCCATAGAGCTCGCACGTTTGTAACTTATTTCCGAATCGCTTTACCATAAGCTGTCTGAATAAAAAAAAGCAAGTGACAAAAATTAACAAATTCACTCACAATGACAACAATTGAATCTACCGTGTAAAATAAAAAAATCTAAGAGGTGCTCAAGCAAACGTTCGCACTCGGGAAATCTAAATGGATAAACCGCTGGGCGATAGCAATGACAATTCATATCACGCTACCAACTCTGTCTCATCCTGAATAACATGGCCCTGGTTTCAACTACGCGGGCGCTTCCCGGATGGAGGCCGAATATTGTTGGGGGCGTAGTAGTATTTCATCAGGAAGGGGTGGTTTAAGACTCGGTGTAGAGCCATGCGCATCGATCCATCCTTGACGAGCAAATTTGAAATCAAATCCACCGCCTCCGGTGGTACCGTTTCGGGGATCGTAAACTGCATGGAGAAGATATTTTTATAGATCTGGTCGTTATCCTTTCCGATAAAAGGAGTCTGCCCGACCAGAAGCTCGTAGCAGAAGATGCCCAAGCACCAGAGATCGGCGGACATGTCATAGGGCTGACGACTCACAATCTCCGGCGGGAAGTACTCCGGCGTCCCGCACGACGTCTTTCGGCGGTTGCTTGGATCGTGCACTGACCATCCGAAATCCGCCAACTTTATGTTACGATTATGATCGAGAAAGATATTCTCCGGTTTGATATCTCGATGCAAAATGTGGTGCTGATGAAGATACAGAAGGGCTTCCGTGAGCTGCGCAACGTAGCGGGCGGCCGTAGCAGGGGGGAAGACCTTCACACGGTTCAGCTCGCTGTATAACATGCCGTTACTGCAGGGCTCCATCACCAGGAAAATGTCGTTCTCGTCGAAGAAAAAGCAGTACGTCCGTAGGAGATACTTATGGCGAGTGTGAAAGGCGATTTCGATCTCGCGCCGAAGCTGATTGGCAATATCAAACTCCGCCAATTTCTTAATCGATAGCTTTTTAAGTGCTACGATGAAGTTGCAGTTGCGTACGGAGGCGAGATAAACATCGCCGTAGTTGCCGCTGCCAAGCTTATGCAGGAGTTCAAAGTCGGATAACTTCCAGTTAGACTTTGGGGTTGGTGGAATGACAATGAAATTGTTCACCACACGGCTATCCGAATCAACTTCAGTTGCCATCTCGTTCCTCCGTTCTGGGGCTTACGCGTTGAACAGGCGTGTGGTCTATATATCTATATGTATATTATTTAATGAGTTTGAAAACAACCCCAACGGGAAAAAAAAGGAAGAATCTACGCCTGACGAGACTAAAGCACGTCAATGGGTTCGCGCGCAGAGACCAAAGGATCAATTTAAACCAAGCCTTAGGTACTTAGTGATCTAGGCCAAATAGGCTGTGGAGAAAGGGAAACGATTTAGCGAGTGAAACACTCGATAACTGTCATTGGCATATAAAAATGCATGCGTGTGGAGATTTGGACTTCACACTTTTTGTCTGTTTGGCGGTCATTCAGCGGCTTGTTTGACTCCTACTCTCTTATTCCATTCAAGAAACAAAAAAGACACGAAAAGGAAAACAAAATCTATGATTGAACTTTCTGTGTGAAAATCCTCCAATTGAGGGCGGACGCAGCGCCCGTTCGTGTGGCTCGCGCACCACACACCGCAGACCCCTCTCCTCTCCCCTCGCACCCCCTCCTCTTCACGCGTTTCGCACGCTGGCCTTTTTTTTTTCTTTTCTTTTACGCGAAGAGCTGATCAAAGGTGCGCTCCTCGATGACGGAGAACACCCCTTCCGGATCCTTCCGGACGTAATAAAACCGATCGAGGGTCTGCGCCCCTAACGCGCGCACGAACTGCTCGTCGTGGGTGATAATGATGAGCTGGAAGTGCTTCACCGCGCGGCGCATTTGAATCAAGGCCTGGAGCGCCGCCGCGAGGGAGCGGGCGTTATCCTCGTCGAGATTCGTCGTGGGCTCATCCAAGGCTAAAATCCCGCATTCGTAGCAAAACGCCTCGCTCACCGCGAGGCGGATGATCACGGAGGCTAGGACCTTCTGCCCGGCGCTGCACCGCCCCCGCATGTCGATCTCGCTGTTCCCGCGCTTCATCACGACGCGGTAGTTATAACTCCGCCGCCCGCTCACCGCCGAGGCGGTTTCCGATTCGGATCGAATCTCGATCGTATCGATATCGCTCCCGCGGTACGTCTGGCGCCAGAGATCGGAGATGATCTGGTTGATTTGAGCGATCTTCTCCTGGTGATAGGACTGCACCGCCTTCTCGAGGGCGCCGTAGTACTTCTCGATATCCTTCACCGCCATCTCGGTCGTCTGGACTTTCAAAAAGGTCGAGCGGTAGCGCTTCTCGATGTTCTGATACTTATCCCGGGCGAGCTGCGCGCGGAGGTTGCTGACGTCGTGCAGGATCGCCGCCATGCTGCCCTCGTGCTGCGCGAGGATCTTCTCCAGCTCGCTGATCTTCGCACGGAGGATCTCCTGCAGGCGGGGCAGCGGCTCCGTCTTCGCCAGCTCCCCCAAAAGCCCCTCCACGACCTCCACGTGGCTGCCTTTGAGGGCGGTGAGGCTCGCCTCGATCTCGGCCACCCGCGCCGCGTCGGTCTCGAGCGACCGCTGCAGCTCCCACACCTCGACGGCGCGGTCGATCTCCTCGAGGCGCGTGCGCGCCGCCTCGCACTCGCGCGAGACCGCCGCGAGCTCCTCCGCGAGCGCCTTCTCCTCGACCTCCGCCGCGTGAAGCTCCGATTCGACGCGCTCGAGGGCCTCCCGCGCGGCGGCGAGGCGCTCGGGGTGTCCCCCTTCCTCGAGGTACCGGAGGATCCGCGGCGCGGCCGCCTCGATGCGCTGCAGCTGCCGTTGCGCGGCCTCCACCGCGGCGGACTCCCGCCGCTCCACCTCCGCGCGCTCCTGCCGGATCCGCTCGATCTCCGCCTCGACCGCCT